TGAGGTTGAATGCATGTATTCCGAAGACAACAGAGCCTGAAGACCAGCCCACGAGTACGGGGGCCAGACAACTTCTAAAGTGACCGCCAAAGGTCATTTGGTCACATAAAGAAAGCACTGAATCCCCATGAAAGTTGCTCCGTTTTTTACTAAAATGAATTATTGCGCATTCATGTGGTACCTTAGTTATTTGAATGCACGCATGGTAGGTAGTCGTTTTGCATCCGTCTTGCTTGTGGCTGTGTTTGTTGGTCTTCGAACTATTCCAAAGCCCCCTTTCTTTTTTAGCCGATAATAGATATTTAGTCCTACCCAAACCCTTGTTCAGCCTAGTGGAAAGTGTCGGTACGTTTCACGTGTGGCAACGGAAAGCAAACCTTGCCGATTGTGGCAGGCCTTGTGGCGTAAACGAGAAGCATATACCTCAGCTGGGAGAATCCGTAGCTTCATAATTGGAAGGGCTGAAGACCACATTTACAGTTGTCAGCTATCGCATCCTCCAATTTCTGTAGGAAGATATTCACAACAGGAGCAACATCGCCGTTGGTTGTATGAGAAAGGTTCGTTTTTGAGGTCTCCTCATTGCATTTCCGCGTAAATACCGTCGATGACACTGCACTCAAATCCTTCCATAAGAGACTGTAGCATATCCCGCTCCTCCTGATATGAATTTTTTCTGGTTCAGTGCTCCGGAATTTGGCCTAATCAAAACTGATTGTTAACTGAGGCCCACGCCACTGATTTCTGCAATTAGATCAAACGTAACGCCAGATTCGCGCGAAGCCGCCAAGATAATGAGGTACAATACCTCAGTCTCATAGGAGTCGACGACTGGCGAGGCTAGCCCGCGGTGTTTCCCTGCAGCACCAAATTCTTTGTGATGGCTGGAGCGAAGGCATCATTGAGGCCCTCGGAGTGCCACTCAAAAAGAGAGGAGTTATGTGGTACTGAATTCGTAACCACCGGTACGACTGGCGCCCATTCTGGTATTTATCTTGCTCTTGGCTGAATGAGCTAGTCTCCGGTCTAAACCAAATTCCAATCTCTCCTTCTCCTCCCTAAATACATGTAAGTAGCTTTGCCCAACGCCTTCTACCAAACATAAAGTAGGGGAGCTTTACATGCTGGTCTAAATATTGCCTCTGGTTAGATCATCCCGAATGACCAAATTCACCCGTCAGTACCTGATGTGCCCTTTGTTTACACTTATCCTACATGTGATTTAAGGTTGCTCACCCAAACTCTCACTAACAGCATAAACCTAGCACATGAGCGGGAGTCAACGTTGCATGTCCTCCGCCTCCTCCCCATCTCTCGCCAGGCAGCAAGAATAGACTAGGCCTCAAACGCTAATGTCGATCCAGCAAAGTCCCAAAGGCACTGAAAAACCAAGAAATGTTCCAGGTCCTTGCCTCAGAGGACTAAATTAAATGTCTCTACTCATTACCATGATTGACACAATTGAGTAAAAAACAAGAAGAGGTGGGGAATTTGACGATAGTGGCGGGGGGGGACGTCCTACTTCTTCGTTTGCCCCCAAATGAGACCCTTCATGAAGCCTGTAATGCCAACAGAAGCCGACTCCTTTGTAGGCTGCATTGGAAAATTGATATGGTTGAGGGCCAAATCAAAGAATGTTGGTTTTACCGGAATCGCCTCGAACTCCAGCGGGAAGGGCACCAGTGGTGCTGGCTGTGTAGTTAGTTTCCGCAAAACCACTTTTTCTGGAACGAATTCACCCGGAGACCTGATCAGCGGCTGCGATAAACAAACACATGCAAACATTCATAGAACCTAGCGTACTGGAATCAGGTGCTGTTTGATAGTCAATTGGGGCCAGTATAGATAAGCGAAAAACGCGTTATTAGAAGCATATATAGCTGGTGGATGCCACAATGCTGCATGTACGCGCAATTTGGACGCCTAACCCGACAAGTGAAATAGCGGTTCACTACAATTCTGTTTATCAATTGTCAGAAAGTAGACTTCCAAGGCAACTTGAGTACCACCTCAGCTTTCATGAAGGTAACGAACATATCAGAAGGTTGATTATCAATGCTCCTTCAGTAGTGTAATTATCTTTCGATGGAGACCACCAATCTCAATTACATGGACGCACGAACATTTCAATCAAAATAGTGATTCGTGAAAATCTGGAATTCAGCAATCCTACCTACCAAAAACTCAGAAATCTCACAACAACAAGTATGTGACGAAGCAAAGCAAGATCAGCCTTAAAGTACTTAAAAGCCCATATTTAAAGTACCAGACCTCTATCACCCATTTATTATACCGCCCCTAGTTCTACTTCCTGAGCTGCAGCTCCCATAAGCATTGCTAAACAAGGTAAGAAACCTGAGAAATCATAGCTGGATACATAGGATGGTTTAAAAATCTAAGCGCAACAACTGAGACCGTAAAAGGTAGGGTAAAAGATGGACAAAGGTCCACCAATGATAATGACAGTAACTATAGTTCCGGATATTATATTTGATGACATTTGCCCTGTTAGGTATGTGACACGCAGTACAAAGATAAGGAATGAGGAGGAAACCCACCTCCTTGAGCACAGCTCTGGGAGTGGCGGCAGAGACAGTGGCGTCATCAACAGATTCACCGGAGGTTCCGCCGGCAGCGAGTTCTAACATGTAACCAGCCTTGCAGGCGAGCATTTCGGTCCCTATCTGGTCGGCAAGATCTCTCAGAAGCTGCATTATGAAAGAACGCGAATAGCCTGGAACTGCCTCGGCCTCAGTGGACTCTGGAAGATCGGCCTTTAAAAGACTCGATTCTGCCTCCCTCACCTTCGCTTGGCAGCGCTGAAGAAGCGAGAAACTCTCCAAAAAACGACTACTCCTAAGGTACGCCAAAGCCAAATAGTAACACCTGGAGCAGTATAAGAAAATGATGTTGATTGCGATTGTGTGCAGGCAAACAATGGTTCATAAAATCTACCTTAAAGCTTGATAAGCGATAATTTTGGCCTTTATGAGAGCCCTAATATCGACGTTGTCTTGGATACCACCGGGTAGAGTGAGCACCTCATGAAGATTCTGCACAACACTATCGTAGAGTCGTGCAAACTCGTGCGGCTTGTGATATCCTGAAGTGACGACATTCCATGAGGCGTGGTGGTGCTCCGGCGCTACGTTTGACATGAGCGTCTCCAGTTGATAAAGGGTTCGCCAAATTGTTTTATTTAACTTCGAGTACTGCATGTATACATTCAGACGCTGCAATCGAGGAAGCTGCATGCAAAAAGAGATCCGTTAACTGATCCCGCATTATTCTAAGAATCGACAAAGATGGCTCACAGAGCATAGATGTAAGTGCCACATTTATTTAATCAAATGCCCATCTAGTGGAATCTAAATAAATGTTAGCAGTTCCCTATTATTGAGAATGATTTAAAGAAGAGGTGGAGCCTAGTCACCTTTTCGATGCCAGTGGCATTAGCTTTCTGAGAGGTTTGTCCAAGCAGAAGACCCGCAGAAGTAATTGCATCAGGGTTTGACAACCGGCGTATCTCCTCTCGAATGGCGACCAATGCATCGACAATAACTCTCAAAGTTGACTCGCAAATCGCCGCCTTAGTAAAGCTAGATGGAAGTTTAGTCAACTGCTCATCCGCTTCCTAAAACAGATCAGAACAGCTAGATTTTGTTTACCAAATCTGGTGAAAGGCTGTACAACTCTTCTGTACAGTCAGCTCCAAAGCCTAGGAGATATGGATGTTGATATATAAGCACAAAATCTCCAAACGTAGTGATACGAAGTAAGGTTCAACAAGCGACAAAAGGTAGGACAACAACGGAAAGAAAAGACTGTAGATGATGATCTAGTGGCTAGATTACAGTGGTATACTTTGTAATGATTGCGTGAGTGCAAAAATGGAGTGCGTGAAACCTACCTGAAGAGCCAAAACCGCCATCCGAGCTTTTTCCAGTTTAACAGGTATGGTAACACCAAGCCAGGTGATCTCGGTTACGGAGCCAGCCTGCAGGGCCTGCATCTGCTTAAGAAGATCATCTAACTGCTCCTCTGCAAGGATACCCTCCACACCAGCGCGCATTTCTTGCAACTCCTTAGCTGCTGAAACATCGCCGATGCTGTAGGCGCAATAGCGAATCTGCGGTAGAATCTCACCAGTACGCACAGAGTACATCGCCCGCAGATCCTCATCCACAGAACCTGCCAGACCTGTGTAAATTTGCTGCGCCGACTCCAACAAGTCTTTCGCCTTCACCCAATCCTAATGTATGCATGCTTACAATTGAACGTGTTTTCTAAAGACCATTATCATAAGATTCTGGCTCCAACAAGTATGTACAAAAACAAGGCTTAAGGTTTGGCAAGTCAACAGACAATGGAACAGTCCCACCATTAGGAAGTACTTTTGATACTATATTCAACCCACTACTTTTAGCGAAACCATAATCTCACATTAAATTCACTGACAATAGAAACTAACCTGCTTTTCAAAATGAAGGATGCCAGTAATCCACTGAATGTAGGCTGTCAACTCCAGTTTCGTCTGTGCGCTACACATTGGCAGATTTGCCATGATTTCATTTAGCACCTGCGCACCTTTTGCTGCCTTACGAAGACGTGAAAGCATGTGAAATCGCTTGCGAGGCTCTGAATTCGCCTCAGCCCTGAGCTGCATTGCATACGCCCAACAACGCTCAATTTCAAAGACGGCTAAGACGAGATAGCGAGCATCAGTGACGATTTCAGGAGTCAGCTTCTTGGGCGCAACACGAGAACGGTTACCCTGCTGAAACCGTAGCGACTTACGCATGCGCCTGATTTTGCGCGCAACGTATTGTCTGTAGCGCTGGTAGTCACCGTGGCGAAGACCATGCTGATTTTGAGCGCACTTTGTAATGTACAAAACTAACGTAGAAGGACTGTCATTAACGGGAGAATAAAGGAATGTAAAACAATCGTATATAATGCAGCGAAATATCATGGCATTCAGCTATGTGAGCCTTGAAAGTGGGAAGAAACAGTGAGAGAGCTATGCATTTGAGGATCTGAATAGATTCAGATGATAATAAGAACCTCAGCGCTCCTTTCCGGCAACCTTCTATTAGAACCAGAACATAAACATCACGTAGAGCTGAAAACTAAGCATAGCCTAGTAAACATAATTTTATTTCCCATCCCTCCCTGACGACCTAGGGACTAAATGCACGAGGTCTAACTTTCATCAACTTTGCTCTCCAAATGCATCACAAGGAGATACTGCGTCGAACCTGGGATGTCGAAACCCCGTCTCGCCGTCCCAACACTCGACTCAGATGCAACAACCATGTAAACGTAAGTAAGATCAAAGTTAAACAGTTAACTTAAACAAGATTTGAGGTCGACCTCAAAATTTGATTCTGCCAACCACTATTGATTGCAAAACGATAAAATGTTTTAATTATGCAAGCTATAACTATTTATTTTGCATAAATTTACCATTTATTTTATGTGTTTTTGTTTTACAATTCTTTGTGTTCCTATTGGCTTATTTCTAGGTAGTGGTGGCTGACTGGCTTTCGTCGAAGCGGGGTTGTTAATCAATAGGTTTGGCAGCGCGACCCTGCAGGGAGTGCCTGTCCGTCCCACTCTGCTTTGCGTCCTGTTCGGTATGCCTCAGTTTTGGGGCGATAGCCCAGACCAGAAGGACGTACGCTGTTGCACATAGATTTTCGTTTGTTACTGGCTAAAGTTCGCGCGACCAGATACCAGTGCCCTACGCTCTGTTCTCTGCGCCCTGCGTCGAGCGCCGCATTGCTTAAAACTCCTGGGTGTGTGTGTGTTACGCGTAGCTGCGCGTAAATCTACGTACCCACACAGCATCGCACACGCGTCTCGTCATACGTCCCATTTGAAGTGCAACACGGCATTCTTGCGAATAGCGCGCGTATCCTGACTGTCCTTCGTTCACGCGTCACCGTCAGCTGAGTGTGGGTTGCGTGCTTCCACCGCCTTCCTCACAAGGGTACGCAATCTGAGTTCCGAAACTCCACGTTGAATCCCCTTTACTTCGTCAGTGTCAGCAACTATGCATGCAGCTTTCTCTCCTAACTACGTGCCGTAAATGCTCTCTAGACACAAAAGTCGCGTTCACGTTCCGGTGAGCAGTTCGAGTTCACTGATATTGGATGTATCTGAGGAGCAATTTGCTACTGAACTGGCCAAACTCCGGGGTATTCCTAGGTGAGCTTCCTTACTTAAATCTATTTGCAATTTATAGGTCCTTGCTTAATTCACGGCCAAGGCTGAATGGGCATCCAGTTAATCTAGTGAAGCTGTACAATGAAGTCGCTTTACGTGGTGGATCCAAAAAGGTGACTTCTTTGTCCCTCTGGGATGAGGTCGCTGGTGCCATTTCTCTGCAGCGGGACTGTGTCAACATTGGTCAGGCTGTAAAAAATGTCTTTCAAAACTATCTGGAAGTCTTTGAGCGCGTTCATCGCAGTCTGGATGGGCAGTCTAGCGCGGAAGTGTCACAGGTCTTGGAAATCGATCTCGCCAACGATTCTCTCAATCTCCAAGTGGTTGAAAATCACCTTCGTCACCGCTGGAATTTAAGCACCGATCTCATCGAATCCGTTGAATACCGAGCTCTCTTGCTAGCTCTGGAGTCGGGCTTGCCGAACGAGCTAGACTACGCAATAAACACCATCCTCCTCATATCGTCTCAACGAAACGGTTTTGACTTAGCTCGTTGTCCTGAAATCCTTCCTCTTATGCTTTCTGCTGTGGGAATTTATTCCACCGGTATGTATTTGTTTGTCGTTTTCACTCCGTTCGACGACTTTAGGTCCTTGTTCCTATCACCTCTTAAAAGATGCTTGGCGGTCGCAGTGTAACCGAGATTTTCACACGGTGAGTAACCCTGCAACTTTCTTATTCACTATTTTTTAGTTCTGGCGAAGCGTGGTCCCCAGCAAATATGGTTGCCAATTTCTCAACCCCGATGTATTTTACCGTAAGTGATTTGGTTCCACTCTTCCCAAGAGTTATTGTGATCCTGTCATTTTCATTGTGACAACATTCTTATGCACGGAAGATGAGAACATTGTTAGCTCGATTTCCTTGATCGAATTTTGGCAACTATCGATTCTCTTCCATGTTAGCTTAAATTTTGTTCTCTACTTTTGATATCAACATAGGTTGTAGCAGTTCCAGTAGTCCTTTCATTCTTTAAAATCCATATTGCTCACCCAGTCATTGGGGATTCCTTTCAGATGAACACCTGCCGAACCGTCCTGACGAGTTTCCTTATTCTTGTCCCTTGACCTTCCGCGACACCATGACTTATCACGATGTGGAGGGTTTCCGCGTGCAGTTGGTGGCCATGGTGTTGCGAAATCTTGTGGTAACGCCCTCCGGTAACTCCGTGATCCTCAGTCAGGAGCCCGACGTACTCCGTTTTGTCTGTTTATGCATTTACTCCTCTCACACTGCCCTGCGCCAACTCGGATTAGACACTCTTGCCTACCTCCACTTTCCGGTCATTGGCCCACTTTCTGACGTCTTGTCCCATCTCCTTCCTGATCTCCTCTCTTCCCAAGATAGAGTTGACACCACCAGAGGTAAGCCTGGGTCCCTTTGCCTTCATACCATCCTTGTCCTCTATTTTATAAGGTGGCACTGATCCGTTGCCTCTCTTCCTGGTTTCCCTAACATTAGGTTGTTTTTGAGGCGTTCAATGCCGCATCCTTACCATAGAGGTTCCCAATTATTGCATTGTGTACAAAGTCAGGTAAAGTAGGAATTCTAGCAAGCCTTTGCTGCGCGCCCAGGGAAGCGTGAGTCAGAACTTGCCGGCTTCTTTCCATACCGCCCAATCTAACCAACCCATTTGTAGCGTGTGTGTGTATATGCGTATTGTGTGTCAAACTCGACACTTGTATTAATGAGTATTTGAGAAACTGAGTCCCTTATCTGAACGCAGGGAATTGGTTTATAACGTCGAAACAAATATCTATAATCGCATGTTTCTAACTCCTTACTATAAAGCAGTCGCTTTAAATATTCTACAGGGCTTATGATAATTCGACACCTGTGTGAATCTCCAGTGCAGTCCCATCAGGGTAATCCAGGGAGTATGCACAATTACCTGATCGAGGCATCCTCCAGAAATATCGATTTTCTCACTCATTCGCTGCCTCGGCGTGTGATTGGTCTAGTCCTCCAATTGGCCTGCCTCTGTGACCTTCACATGCTTGTGTTGGCTCTTGACGCACTCTTCGCTCTCTCGGCGCAGGGCCCAACGCTCTGCGATACTCTTCTCAGTGAGAGACATCGATTTATCTCCACCCTTGTTGGCTTCCTTACCTTCGAGGCACAGTCCCTCGGTTCTGACGGTCTCATCCGGATTCGAGTTATGCAGGTTTGTTCATGTTCTCTTTTGTCTCATTGTTTCTTCACGTAGACCTTTATTTGATCCCAACATTCATAAGCCTCGGTGTTACTGAAAATGCTGTATTTTTCTGGCTTAAGGTTTTCTGAGAATCCGTATGTGTAGTAATTGTTGTCATAACTAGTTTTCTGCATTAGTTCTGTAACTTCCCAAATCACCCTCTCACTCTGGAAATAGGTTTTGTGCTTTTATTCATCCAGTTCGTTCTCGCTTATCATTTATTGGCACTTTTTTGGTCTTCATATTTTTAAATTGTTTTGGTGACATTATCACTATCGCTTGTACCCGCTTCTCAGAAATTTTCCTCATTGCTATTCCTTTCGAGAGCAATGCATTTTGATGCAGGATTCTTGTATAGTGTCCTGCCTATTGTAGGATTTCTTAGAAAATTACTGAACTCTCTCGCTAACCCACTTGTAACAGGAGCGTTATTTCGATGACTGATGCTTTGCAATATGGGGTCTAACGTGTCAACGCATCTGCATCCTACTTTTGATTACCTGCCTATGAGTTTGGCTTGAAGGAGTATTTCGTTAAGGGAAAAATGAGCTGATTGTGATTTCCATTGCCATACGTCACACTGTCACTCCTTATAACTCCCTAATTTGGGGGTCTGAATTTTTATGTAGGAGAGCTTATAAGTATAAATTTCGGGAACTAGTGGGTCCACATGGTTTATCCATACCTTAATCGAATAAAGTTCCTCTGATACATTGCTTCCCTGCTGCAGAGAATACAATGTACGTGCATGGATAGCTCGGTCCACCAACTACTGTGTATGTTTGTGTGTTCCGCGATTAATTACTCACAAGTTGTGATTTTGCGTGTGCGGACGTTAAGATCTGCGCAATTCACACGCTTAAGCTCTTAATGAGAATTGGCACTCCATCACTCCCATACTAGCACTGCTTGCACTGTCGAAGTATTGAGTGTAATTCTCGCTAATCTGGTTTTGGATTGCAGTAAAAAAAAACAGGTAACCTTGGTCCTTTCATTCTTTTCGCATAGGTGCCGGGCCCTACTTTAACCACTACTGGTTCCGCCAATGCGCCCAACATATCTCAGCCTAATCCGACAAGACGTATCATGGAGAAGCCTGTCGCACCCACAATGCCTCCACTGACGCCTGTGAAAAAGGATCCACACCCTACAATTGCCTCGTGTCTCCTTCTGAGCCCAGCGCCGCAGCCCCATGCCGGATGCTACGCCGTTCCGGTGCCAACTACGGGTGTTACCACATCTGCGGTAAAATCGTCTCCCCTTCCGCCATTACTAACACAAACAGCGCAGGATCCCCCAGTCCCACTGCCCACTTCCACAACCAAGGTTGGTCTCTTCATTCTGGTCAGCTCTAAAAGGTTTAACTTCCTTTGACTTTCTCTTTATTCGGATCTTGAGAAACTCCTCCTTTGGCTTTCGCCTATTAATTGTGTTCTTTTAAACTTCGGAAGCTAGTTTAATGAGGAACAGTATTTTTGGTTGCGATTGATAGCTTTACCGCACTTTAGATGGCTGTATAGTTCTACATCTTCAGTCTTTTTTATTGGGGTTTGCGTCAGTTATCACGTGCTATCCCGCCTTTGACGTGGCGTCCACTTCATCACTTTCCATGGTTGGTCCGCTTGTGAATCTGAAATAACGGACTCATTTATAATTCCATAGCCTAACAATCTGGTGCTTAATATCCGCTATTTCATGGAATGATCCGATCCTCCTTTACTCAAACAGGTTATAAGACTGTTTCAAGTTCTGATTTTTACCTAAGTTTTGACATTTTTACTCCAAGATTACATTCTTGCAAATAGTCACGCTATCCGTTATCTTGGAGTATCACAAAACACACTTTCGTGAAAGTTCACGTTTGTGTCAAAACTGTAATCCCGTTCTTCTACCAACTACTCAGCTATTCTCGCCTTTTCAGTCAGGTAGATACTTGTCTGATTACTGAGATCAACAGATATGGTCTCATTCCTTTGAGTTGCTATTAATTGTTTTCATATTGCTTCTCGTAGGCCAGCATTTCCATTACGTCACCAACGCCTTTAATCGAGGCTGTTGATTCCAAGCCACAGTCGACGGCGATGGTGATAACGCAGGTGCCGACTCAGCAAAACCCCGTTGTTTCTCGGCCTCAGGTCCTGCCTATGATGGCCACGACTCCTAAACCTGCTGTTGTCCTTCCATCCACGACCAATGGGAGGCAGCAACTGCAGCAGCAAGCGGTAGCAGTAGAGCGAAAGACCAATTCTTCTCCGACTTCACATCAGCAACAACTGCGTACGCCTCTTCTGTCGTCTTCCTCTACTTCTTCCCTATCTTCCTCCCTCGTTAATACCCTTCCTAAGCCGTATCCAGACGCACCCACAGACAAACGCGAGTTTGCAGTGTTTTGGCTCAATAAAAACTACGAGGTTCACCCGCAGTCGAGCTTTCCACGAGTTCAAATCTATGCTGACTATCAGAAAGCCCATCAAGCTCAATTTGGATCTTCATCTGGCGGGGCACTCTCTGCAGGCGACTTCCATTCTATGATCAAGTGAGACTCAGTTTCGAGCTTACCTAATGTGGTTTTCGGATGGGGCAAGCTTTATGACCTGCGTATCGTCTCTATATGGGATGTTCGTACTGTTGTGAAAAATAGTGTAATTATGTCACTGCTTCGGCACATCACCGTTTATCTTGGCCTTTCTAAACCCAACTAATCGCTGTCACTTTCAACTAATGGTCCATGTTATTTCCGAATATAATCGTGCTTTTTCCCATCCAGAGTAGTGGTAGCTTGCTCTTATGCACATAGTTCAAACCATTATTTGTATTAAATTGGCTTTTGGAAGACCTTCTCTATACATTTTTTTACAGACTTGTAGCCGAGACAGCCTTAGTGGATTCCAATAATGCAATCCGGGGTCTTTATTTTAGCTTCATTGTTTCTGACCGTGTCTGTTCTATGCTATTGGGCGGATTGGTTTTATAAACGCATTCCTACTATAAACGTACATATGAAAGCTGCCCACCATTGTCTCGGAGGTTGTTTCAGCTCACCATTTGAACAATTGTGCTTCCATGTCTCATCGTGAGTCAACAGCCATTAGGCTCAGCCACTGTACTATGGTTTAAGCTGCATGCATGCATCGGCACTTTGCACATTGAAACTACATTCTCGCATAATAATCACTCCCACTCGACTTCTAGGATGGTGTTTCCTCCGGTCGATCAAGTAAAGGTCCTCGTTCCAAACGGAAACGTTGAGATCCACTACAACAAGCTCAAGCATGTCGATGCACCCGAGCCAGTTGAGCAAACTCTTGGTGAGTTTTTGACTCCTCTCCATCTTTATCGCATTAACCCGTCTAAGGTTATCCTCCCTTTTTGATCGTCAGGTGTTCAGCACATGTTGGGAACGTGCCTGGCAAGTCAGAATTCCGATGGAAAGAGTCTTACCCACCGAATGACAGCTTCCGTTTCCTCGAAGGTGAGTTGTGCCATCTAGAACACAACGATTTATCATTTCCTTTGGTTCCACGTGGTTTGCACGTTTTGCACGAACACAAACAAGCGTGCATGCGCGCGACATCTTAGTGACCTGATTGGGGCGCACCAAGGTCGCGCGTTGACTTTGCGCGCGCATAGGCACGTGTCGTGTGTCCGTATGTGTGTAGGCCACGTGAGTATGTGTGTATGCGTGTCGAGACCTTGAAGCTACATATGTAGCGATGGTTGGCGCTCTCCTACCGATGCCACACCGCTTCTCCATTTATTGTTGTTAGCACGTCACGCGTGCACACGCACGCACAGCCTTCTTCGCGCTGTGTGCGCACTCGCATGCTTGTGCGCTCTCAGCCTCGATCCCCAACGTGAGTTGCATCTTATGGAGCTAACTCCTCTCCCCGCTCTCTCTCTCTCCCTTCTTCCCTCCCCCACTTAGATTTGAAGTCTGGTGGAGCTTTCCCAAAGGTTAAATTTTGCGACACGTTGAGATGTTATGTATTGAAGAATACAGTAGGGCTCCCCACCAGTGAGGTGCTAAGCTTTATATCATCTTAGCATCGCCGCACAACACAGTTCTCGTAGCTCCCTTTTTTTGCTGTGTTCGACAGCACCATATGCTGGTATCTATTGTCTGGTTATTTTTAACAGTAGTTTATCTGAATTTATAAACCTAACATGCAGCTATGACCTTTTTTGAGTTCATCTAGAATACAATCGATAGGGCGAAAGCAAATGGGTTCCTAAATTAAGTCCATTGTGGTCCTCGTGAATTGAACAATAGGAAACAATGTGTTTTTAAGTTACGTATGCTCATGTCTTCGAGGCGTTCAGCACCGCTTATGGATGTGTCGTTTACACTTTCATAAGCGGTCAGCTGGTGGTAGTGTTTCTGTTTGACGTGATATCTGTGTCCTCCCCAGAGAATTCTTGAAGTAGACCTGCTGTGAATGTCCGCAAGCCGCAAGCTTGAGTTTACATGGTAGGTGCATCAATTGATTTACGAGAGAGCGGGAATTGAATGCGACTCTACGTAGTTAAAACGAAAATTCCGTGTTTGCTCTTCCATTTCTTTAGTCGACTCGGAAACGCAGTGCGGTCAATCTAATAGAGGGTCCAGCGGCGGAGGCAGCCGCTGGCATGAAGCAATTGCGTCTCGTGGAGGACGCAGTCAAAGCAAACGGAGGGGCTGGAGGGACACTGACTAGCACTACTTTCGTCAACGGTACTGGTGCGCATCCCATCAAGCTTCTCGCCACCAACGCTGCTACTTTTGTCGATGGTCTTATCCCCGCCTCATCCAACGGTCCCATCGAACTCACCACTAAGTAAGCATTACCATCTTTCCCTTGATTTGTGCCTTTACGGTCGCTTAATAATGTTAGCAGTAATTCATCTTAATATTAGTTTTCCTAATCATATTAGTTAGTGTTTTGTCAATTTCAGTGGTATACACCTCCAACAGCCGGTGATAGCAGCTTCTGCAATAGTCTTTCCCAGCATTGACGGGAAGCGCGTGTTGAACGGTTTTGGAAGTTCTGGTGGTGGAAGCAGCGGTAGCTCGGTTAGTGGAAGCGTGGCCATGGGCGCAGCGGGTCCTACTCTCATTGACAGCTCACAAGGCGTTCTACAATTTCGCACCCTCTTGCCCACCACTTCTAATAAGGTGTCTCCCCAGTGTCGAGCCTCCCTCGTCATGCAGTCCACCGCGGCAAACGCTACGGCTCCTGGCATTGTCACTGGCGCTGGTGGCGGTACTGGTACTGAGATTGCCTCTGCACCTACTTTAACCTGTCTTGGTACTTTCATGACTACTTCCACCGTGAGTGGAGTGGGTGGAGGAGCCCAACAGGTGTTTGTGTACTCCCTCGCACCTAATGCGCAACTCTCTATTGCGCCCACTGCTGCGACTATTCTACCAGCCGTAGCCCCTGCGCCCACAACAGTACCCGGACCGGGTGCCTCTCAGCAGCCGCATCATCAACCCCTTCTTACCGCTGCAACTGTTGCCACAATACCGCAGCAGACGCGCCTCGCAGCCCCCCCTACAGTCTTCCCTTGCCGCTGGGTGGATTGTCGAAAATCCTTCCCTTCTGTCGATCGCCTCTTCTCCCACGTCTACTCTGCTCACTTCACTCTTATTAAAGGCCAGCAGGAAACCGTGAGTTTTACCTACTGTCTCAGGTCTTACTACCAGAATAAAAGTTTAATGGACTTGTAGTCTTCCCTTGTAGTTGAATTTATTCTGACTTTTCTAAATATTCATTTATGAATTCGTTGTAATAGTGTATGCTATGACCTATTTCATGCACTGTAAAGCTTTCCTTGTAAACTTTACGTCCTGCACGTTTAGTTTTTTTTCTAATCCATTAAGGTCTCCTGTCTTCTATTGCGCTACTTACCTGTCTAATATTGTTACCAAATATCTACTGCCTATGATTGCATGGCTGTGCTTTTCCCTTTGTAAACTCATGGTGCAATACTTTATTCGAATGATTTTGTAGACTTGTAGGTGGTTGGGCTGCAAAGAGTCCAACACTCGAAGAAGCTCACTGTCACTACTGGATCACCTCCACGAGCAACACTGCGCTACGCATTCTTCTGGTTTACCCAGCAAGCTTCTCTCCACTGTCTCGACAAGCAGTGTCACAGCGGAGTCGGAGGGACCAATTTTGACCTCTCTGACCACAATGAAACCTTCTCTCAGTGCGACGAGGGCTGTGGTAGCCGACTGTGAGTTTCGGCAGGCCCTTCAGGCTGACTTCTTGCCAACCACGTCTGAGGTTATGCGAGAGGGACCTGTTACTAAGCACGTTCGTCTCACCGCTGCTCTGATCCTTCAAAATTTGATAACTTACTCATCTGCTGCTCGAAGGTAAGTTTCTTACTTGCCCTTTGTGAGAATCCTTCAAAATGCGTCTATGCTGCCTTTCTTTTCAACAGACAGCTGAGGGCCTACGAGGCATTATTGTGTGAAATGGCTCTCTCAGGGACAGAAGCCTCGAGCACGCTAACCAAATGCCTCGCTATCCTCTCTGCCTCACCGTCGAATGAGGACGGTGAGGCGGAGAATGTCCTCCCCTTTTCACCGCACAACCTCAGGTAGCCCATCCCCTTACTTCTGTACATTCTTTGATCCTCTCTTTTACCAATCCTGTACAGTGACCAGTCGCCTTTTTTTATTTGCATTCACAATAACGACATATGAGACGAACACAATGATGTCACCCTTTCATGATTGTACAGTTCTCGATGTGTACGGACTACTCCTGTGTAATTTTATACATTTGCCATTACTACCACTTGACGTATGGTGATGATATAAACCGATGGATGCGTTTTACTTATACCCAAGCTGACTTTTTCTGTGGTGGTAATGTTAATTCACTCCTTTTCATGTATATTTTAATCGCATTGCACTTATACCGGCATCATCAAATAAACATGCGTACATACTTCATCTGTTGCCTCATCGTTCTTGTTGAGCAAGTGTCGTAGCAGGTTGGCTTTTACCCAAGAGGATATTTTTGCAAATCTTACGTAATTTGGTGCGCTTGTGATTTGTGGTTTCGACGTCTATGCAGTGAAGAGCGTTGCCCTAAATTGAGTTTCTATATTGATCTTTATATAGCTATGATTGCCACTCTGGAGTGTCTCCTTGTTCAGTGATGTTGATTCAAGTAACAGGTACCATGTTTATTGTTAATAATGTGGAACCTAACTATGATTTGCGATTTTTTTAAGGACAATTAGTATCTCCTGTTAGTGCTTGACACAGTGCTTTGAGAAGTTTGTCTTATATTATGTGATTTTCCATCACTCACAGTATCCGTTACCGAAGCGGAAGGCAATGTAGCTGTCTTGTCAATACTTGTGATGTTTGTCAGGCTGTGCAAGATTTGTCTAAATGCACGCTCTTGGGAATGGCTGCTCCAGAGTCCCAATTCTTTTCATGGGATACTCAGCATTTGCCTTTGATATATAGCTGATTGCCTAAGATTGACCTCCTCTTAGCTCAGGACATCTGGCAAGGCACTAGTATGTGGAATGTCCATCTTCCAACTTGTGGGCATGTGGCGATTGACTCATCCAATACTACAACTAATTTGGGGTCACTTCAGTTGTGCTAATCTTGGGGAACTCGTGCAGCCATTTCATTCAAGTGTCTAGTAAATACTAATTAAACGTGGGAGTTATTTGGCGAAGCAACTATTGCGAGATTGTCAGTTATTCATGAGTTAATACGGGTTTGCTAGATTCGATTGGCAATTAGTGTGGGCGGTGGGTTCAGCGAATTTCATGGAGCTTGGCAAGAAGGTCGGTTTTTACGGCTAAAACTGGTGCTCGCTGTCCGATACAACTTAGAAATTTTATCTATCCACGGTGTTGCGCCTAAAACCCAGTGGAAACCTGAACTTAGCTCCTTTGTTGAAATGTGTAGATACATTGTTCTGTTTGTAGAAAATATTGGTCATTCTCATGGTATTACTTCACAAGGCGCTGCTGTGTCAGCGAAGTAAGAAAGATGTAAAATGTACCAGCCTGCATTAATTTTGCTAAACTAAATTCGTCTTTACCGTGGTAAATGCGTTTCGGAAACTGAGCATCTACCGCTGAACAAGCATTTAGCGATCGTGGCGAAAGGGATTGTCAGACTGTAAAACAAGCGCATTTGTGGCTAACGCTTTGCAAACATGAAACTCATGCAGCCCCAATCTCGTCTCCCTCTACCTCAAGAAATCATTCGTCTTGCATTATCGAGTCATGTGCGTGGGTGCGTGTACGCGTGTAGGAATCGCCAGACGGTAGAAATGGTGTGTGGCTAGCGCGACACTTGACGCAGGCGCTTTTGGCCTCGTCTGCGTTAAAGGCGCACGTGTGAGCGAGCACCGATAGGTGAACAGGCGACTGGACAGCACGAGCACAGAACGCGCGGACAGGCTCGTGAAGGCTTGCGCACGCGTGCACGTATGTGACACAGACAGGCCAGCAATCGAGACGGTCGAGATAGTGAGAGGCACGCGAAAGGCAGTCACTGTGGTGGGACAGGTGCTCTTTCTATTGGTTGGCGTGCCGTGTGGCCTAAACACCATAGCGTAGTGGGACGCGCCTTAGTATCAATTATCCTCGGTCGGAGATGTCGGTGGCTAAAAAACTGTAGTTGGCGTTGACACATTGAGTTGTATTGTCAAACTTATCGCAAAATACAACTTGTTTTGGTGGTTATGCCACTACTTTCGCAGGAGCGATGAATCAAAGGCGAATTTAAAATCTTAGCGTTGTCCAAGCCGATAATATTATTCATTACAGTTAGTAAAATGAACCATGCCCAACGATAGTCACTCCGAAGCAATTTGTGTTAGGAGGATCTCGGTAATCGTTTTATGGGTTCTCAATACCCGATTGTGATCTCGTTTTCCGTATTAAAGCCACACCCAATAGACAGAGGCATGGATAATTAGTGGGTCTGCACCTCCAAGACGCTGGCCTTAGTTATTGACCGCTCGCATCATCCAGGGTTGGTTAAAGATTACAACAGTTTTTTACTCATTGGCAAACGCCATCATCTAACTGGTATTGGATGATCGAGCAGAATTGGCTACAGTGGCATAGGATTATGCAGATTAAGCCTTGTAATCCCCTGATCAATCTCCATTCAGATCGAGATTCCACCTTTTAAGCTAGCAATCAACCTTCGATGAGCAAGATGATTCAAATCTGATCTTATTAGAGGTTACGGGTTGCATAAACCAGGGAGCGACAGCTTCTATAGCGGCTTACATTGTTTCCTTTCTGATGACGGAAAGTTCTGCCATTTAGTTATTTTGGTCCTTTATGAATCTTATTAGGGGAAGTCGTGACACAGTGGGGAGGAAGAAAGCTAAATCAATCCTTCTAACTAAATGCAGATACGTCATTTCGGTTTTTTTGTCTCTTTGATCGCAATGGGAGTTCGAATATTATTTTTAGTGTTAATAATTCACTTATTCGTCTCCTTTTTAGCCCCGATAAATTAGAGATTGAACTTCATCTTAGGATTTTAACTCTCCATGATCTAGCACATAAATCTTTTCAGGAGTGTCCTTATTGCCTTTTGAATAGGGAACACAATGAGGCACATGTTGAATTTAATAATGAAAAAGAGATGTTGCCCATTTAAGTCAGTTCTGGCCTCGAATCATTGCACTAGGTGTGCGAGTCTTGGCAACAGCTACCGCATCCTCACTTAATTGTCTCTCCATTACGGTTTTTGAGAGTTCCTCACCCATGTGGTTCCTCTTGGCCACATTGCGGCTCATCCCGCAAGCCAACTATGATATCCTCAGTGAGTCATAACTGTCACTACCAGAGCCGTCAAGCTTACACATGTACGGAGAACGGCGTCTGCAACCGTCGTGACTATGTAAACTCCTCTAGGTGGTCAGTACGACTAAACGGATGATGTTAGGCTGCACTGTGGATGTCCACATTGTCTGTCTAGGATGGTAAATAAATTGCACTTTCGACTAATGAGAAATCGGATTGCGCGGATATCTACTGCGCAATGATTTCATGCCCATGACGGATAATTTACCATTCCTTCAATCAGTTTGCACTTCTAATTAGTTAAGTGTCAAACAGTACTACAATCGTGTGTTAAAAGATTTGATGTCACAATCAGACCTTTTTAGAGAAACTAATTACTTAAACCTGGCCCGATTTTCTATCAACACACGATGTGGCTTTCTCATGAGATTGTGCTGTCAAAACATAAGCATCTTCGATGTCATCAACTAACTTTACTATCTTACTTACCTACATCTTAAAATTGTGCTTTAAGCGCCTGAATTCAGTATGACTCGTCAAAAAGTAAACAAGTTACGGTGAGGCATGGAATTAACATCTGTAAAGAAGAAAGTAAGAGATACCTTGGAGTCACGAAAATCAACTTAAAAATTAATGTTCCGGAAATTGCGTGCCTTTCTATCCTACAATTATGTCACATGTAAGAAAAACAGACCGAATTTGTGAATATTAATAAAAAATGACTAAGAAAATGAAACAACTAAGGATTACAGTGTGATCGAAATGTTTTGAAATGGTTTCCGTTTATAACTGCTCCAAAATATCAGAGTGCATCCTTTATGGTGTCAGAAATTCGATAAACAAACACCATTTTCAAATAACAATGAGCACAAATGAGTTTTACTTTTATTAAAACCAAGATTTGATCAAAATTGGTTCATTTGGGGAAGAAGATTGGGCCGGTCGGGGAAGTGAAAATGCAAGTCGAAGCTAGGGGAATAGCCCGTTAGAGATTTTTTGGATTCGTACTACGAGGGAAAGGAGGGAGAGGAATTAGTTGGAGCCCTCTGGACGTTTAGAGCGAGGCAGAGCGGTAACCACAGTGATACCGATGGTAGCGATATACATGAAGAAGAAGAGGCGATCAAGCACTAAGGCCATAGTGCGCCATTCCATTGCAATGGCGTTCTTGCGTGCACCCTCCTTCTGTCGATTTACAAACATTCGAACGTAGCGTTTCAACTCGCGCACGTCACGCTCTAAACTGGTGCTCGAGCTCAGCATAATTGGCGAGTCTTCGGAGTCCAGGTTTACCGCCGGTACCCCCCGCAGTGGCTCTGCGGTCGAGGCGTGCCAGTCTAGCTGGCCAGAAGTGCCTCCGCTGCGCCGTGAGAGATCTCCCACTGAATCGCCCAGCCCCATACAGCCTGGGCAGGTAGCTCGGTTGCTCCCACCGCACAGTTGATGCTTCCAACTACCACCTCCGTCTATGCAGTTTGTTGTCGGTCCTTGAATAACGAACAATAGGATTTAGATTGGGTTCCGTTACAGTGTACCTATTGTTGTTTCAGCTTGTCATGATTTTATATCCAGCCGTTGCTCTTCAACCTTTACATGACATTGGTCATATTATTTGTCCAAATTGTGTGGAAGATGGAAAGAGGGTTAAATCAAATTGGCCATCCGAGGGGACTTCATAGCTTCAGCGATGAGTAAGTAGAGAAATGAAGTATTTAAAGTCTATTTATTGATGCATATGACTCATTATCACTAAAATGCTCTCGAAAGTCGCCTATACACCTCATCTGCACTGGGCTAAGAATCAAAAGAATGTTGAAACTGGACTGAAAATACATTTATCGTGAAACATGCCCATTATAGAAGGTTGTTTTGTTGTTTCTAACGTCTTTGAATAAAGTACAAAGCAGTGCCATAAAGATACCTTAAAAACCATTTTTAACAATCCAATAAGGAACATTAAAGGTATTAGCATTATTGGGTTGCCTGAGTATGCGATAGGACATCACGACTTTCAAACCTTACGTGAGCCTACAGGCTGAGTTGAAACTTATTCCAGTGGTACGCACACGCTCAGGATCAAAATGGGTAAAGACGTGACAGCCTTAAGGCCTCTTCTTACTCAGACCAATTTCTGCACCTTCGCTGATTTGATTTAACATGAAACCGAACAACCATCATAGGAACGTTTAGACTGATGTGAACTTATTGTCTTTGGACTGAAAAATCCCGGTGATCAATAGGCTTGGATATTCGCCACATTCTAGGCAGGCATGCATTAACCTGAACTCGAGGCACAATCCTAAGTAAGCTAATAAGAACTAAAAGGAGTGCCTCAATTCCTTGTTTCAGTCAATCCTGAATGCATTTATTCCAAAGTTATTTGAAGCACATTTCCATTGAAAACATGGAAGAGTGGAGAATGGAGCACAATAGAGAGACCTGCATGTCTCGCCATCAAGCCATTGCACAGTAATGTGCTCAAACAAATGACACAAGAGGTAATCCTGGAATGAGTTCCTAGGTGTTAAGTTGGATATGGATAAGATTAGCACATTTCTTATCTCCAGAATCGTGTTTGCGGATTCGGCTGCTAACGTACGGATTAGTTACTAAGGTTAACAACTGGAAGCACCTTGGACTAAACTACAAATCATCACCAGTCCGTATTTTAAATTAAATTCACCTACATTCGGCCAAATGACACACTGCTGAAAAGCTAGCCAGGAACTTACGAGTACCTCCAAGTTTCTGTCAAAGGCTACAGTTTGACAAGGCCTCAGCCTCTAGAAAGTTGATTTGAGGACCTACCGAAAGGCAGACGTCGTGGCGACTCGTTGTTAGTTGTGGTGTTTGTGTTATTCATGTGGTCTTCATCGTCGTCATCGTCCTCAAGGAACTTATTAGAGGGTAGCTCCGGCACGCGTACTTTCCGACGCCGAGAGCCGCGTCTGCCCAAACCTCCAGCTCCTGTTCGTGTCACCACGTGACTTAGCGTCTTTTTCTCCTCCGGCAGCGGAATGCTCTGTCGAACCATCATGAGGCGACCCATCCCCTCGATTATTATCTGAAACGCACATACACACCCTCTCCCCACTCATACGGACCCTCAGTTTGATATGGAATAGCTGCGTGGACGAATGCACGCATAGGCATAAACAAAGCTGTCATTTTTAATGTAAAACTGTGTTAATAGAAGGATAGGCAGATGGATCTAGGAATCAGTGGGCACTCAAGTAGAGCCCAAATAACGAGTGAGGTGCTATAGGGCAGTTGATTTGATGCCTTATGAACTGGCAAACAATAAGCAGGTCATCAATTTAACACGTTTTTACTTGTCAACGCGTACGAGTGCGTGAAGGAATAAGGTGTATAGGCATGCGATGGACTGTTGGCTGTCAAAGAATGGTGGAAACAGTTCCTAGTTCCAATTCCTCGCATTTATGGTTCCACATTGATCTTCGGCTTACAGAGAGCATTTGTGAGCTTAAAACAATATCAATCACTGACATTATTCAATCAAAAGAGAAGGAGTATCAGTCACAGTCATGAAAATTTCCAAAACACTGAAACGAGAATCTCTTGTAGGATTGCCGACGTCTTCATATTTGATTTCTTTTGGTACTTTGCTTCATAGATTAAATAATATTGCTTGTAGACTTCAGTTTCTCGTGTGGGAACGCACCACGCATTCGCTTCAGCCGCCCAAAGCATTTGCAACGTAGTAATAGGAGGTTGTATGCCTTTGATGTGGGTCAAACTGTCGGGAGCGAAAGAAGGTAAAATTAGTTAGGTTGGCAAAGTGATCGACTTGTATGAAATCTTGGACAAAACTAGAACCATACGACTTTGAGGGTCAACTTTTTAGATTACGTTTGTGATCTCACTAAAAATTGGGCAAGCCCAGCAAACCGATGTAAAAGAAATAGTACATTTCTGAGAGAAGGTACACAAATATTGGACTAGAGCTTTCTAACCCTATCCCCATTAGCAGCACTGTACTACAATGGTTAACAGTATATTTCCCCTTTTGAGAGAGGAATGATTTGAGTGTTTTGCCGGGTGGATTGACCTCGGGGTCATTGCAATCGTTACAAACTTCACTGTATGTCGAGCATCGTCGCTCCTTTTGTTCCCGATGAAGTCGCAGCCGTCTACATGGGTCTAATGGATCGCTGAAGCATACATTTTACACTAGTGACACCGGCGATACGTCCCAGCGGCAATTATAACCTCTTCCTATTTCCAAAGGTGGTCTAAGTTAAATAAGCTTTGTGTTTCACGGATTTCAAGCTAAAGTAAGCTATATTTTGACGAAAACGGGATGACTTATTAGTTCACAACTTTGTCAGTTTAACACGCATCACCTGCCTTCGTTAAAAACACAGAATGGGATGAGAAGGAAAATGGGTTGATAAGACAAAAATTCTACATATCAAAAAAATAGAGTGAACAGATGAAATTTCATTGTGATCGACTCCCATCGGTTATTGCCAGACCACTTGAGATTTTGCCATGAAATAAAACTCCAGAAATTTGGAAAGGCAATTGAGGGCATGTGGAGTCATTACTGACCTAATCACGTGCTTCGATAAATTTCCATTGGAGCAAGCAATCGCTAGTCTTGCAATTTTCTTCAAAATGTCAATTTTCTTCCCAAAACACAGTAGCCATAACCTAAAATTAGGACTTGAAGGCTGAAAAAGTCGTCAACAAGTTCAATGGTGTGATAATTCTGACCTGCACGCATTCGGAGGAGTAAACAATTACTGACAAATGGATTATGCATTGGAAAAAAATGCACTGAATATGAAGTAGGAAGAATTCTAAGGATAAAGCAAAATTCCAAAGGCCTCATTTAGTGATTTCCAGTGTTTACTAGATTCGGAAATTTGCCCATCCAAGTGAAATGTAGAAACCGACTTACGCGATGAAGAATAGCTGGAAGCGGTCCATTGCGAGCACCTCGGTAGTGAAAGTGAATGACAAGTGTAGCGAGAAACGTCGATAATGTAATCATAATCATGTTGAGACAGAAGTAGGCACCTGTTTTGCCGAATAAACGCTCCACCAAATAAGCAGCCTTGACACCTGATAGACTACTGATAGATCATTACTCACCTATCAGAGGGAACTCCTTGACAGCATTCGGCGTCTGACCGGCCAACACAAGGAGGAGGAGGAAAAATGTGACGAAGATGTTCATTCCTAGATCCACAAGAGGGAGATTCGCATAACTTCAACTCGTTGAAGAAGAGTGGTAGAGGAGTAGAGTAAGCAACGGTGAAACTGAAGTTGGACTACTGCACATTAAGACATGAATAGGTTGTACGAAGCATAGAGGCATACAACTGAAGAGCGTTTGCTAAAGGGTATAAGGCTTTCTAAACTGCACACAGGTAGCAATAAGTGTGTAGTGTGAGAAAGTACCTAAGGATAGTTATTTTCGGAACAAGGCACCCATCGTCTCAAAGCAAGTTTATGTAGCCCAACTTTGGAGCTTGCATAAATTGTACAACAGTCGCCTATGTTTGATCTCGTTCACTGCCTCCCAATTTCGCTTGTGTGTACTGACATTTAACCTTTAGTTTTTCGAGTTCATACCTCAGAAGTAAAAAAATGAGGGCTATTTACCTCTCTTATGCCTAATTACTCTACTTTAGGAGTTTGCTACAATAAAGCCGGGGCTTTTAATAAATTACAAATTCAACTGCTCCACTACTTACCACTGTTAGTGAAAGTAAACCCATCTTGATTGTTAGGCTTGCTTGCATATTTTCGGTGACAAGGAACTCAAAGGGGCAATGGCGAAGTAAGTTGTCTGTCACTACCAAGTTTTGATGAGTATTTAAGCAGCCAAGGGCATTGCTTCCCATCCTACACTACTGAACGTCACGCTGGGAGCAAAGACAAATAGGATCGGTCAAGATAAAACGCGAGCAGCAGAAGTCAGCATGGGTGGCTCCTCAGGGATCTTGAGTTTTGGCAATGAGATGTAAAAATAGATTTTGCTTCCTTCTTTGCCTGATTCGTTTATGCGAGTTCTTATGAAAAAGCCCTTCGTTTCTATAGCTGAATGCCATTAATTCAGAAATGAAAATTGAGAAGTGGCTACTACCCATTTGTGACTTTGACTGAACTGATATTTTGGCAATAGACAGAATTTCAGCGCAAAATTGTTTCCTACACTCGTTAAACTCAACGGTGCGAGGACACAGGTCCACTTCTGCATTTATTAGCAGCCGATTTTGTGTAAGTATTCTGTTAACTCATATTCTTAAACCCTAACATGCATTGGCATCTCAACTCCCTTTCACAATCAATTCACACCTCCTAGATTCACCTTTCCATTTCACTCAAAAGGTTTCTTATCCTCCTTCCACAAGCTTCTGTTCTTTGCCTGAGGAAAGGATACTCCTTTACCCGAATGGAGAGCATTTTGGAATTGCTGAATGAATGTGCAGGTACTGTTTCTTTGCCTAGCGTCCAATTTCCAACTTACTGTTTCGAGGTATTCACCGCACGCATCACCCTTGACCCTTTCTGATGCATTAATTTCGCTGCCCTAAGACGAACTCTCTAAGATGACTACCAGTCTACGGCGTTTCGACTATGGCAAAGCCATTAGTTGGTTGCCAAAATGATCAGTTGATACAAATACAACAAAATTTGCATGACTATCACAACTGTATATCGAGCAAGGAGGTTTGGGCCCTGCTTACTCATATGAACACTTGAAAGGTATTTTGAAGTGCTGCAGCTTTGTGTTTTTCAATACCATTATGGGGGCGAACTTTCCAGCCCCCAGTCGCATCAAAGGTTTAAGAAAATATAATTACCTTTATGCTTTTGAATCTGTTGATTACGTAGCCTCCTAAGTGTCTACAGTCTGTACTTCAGCTTGGTGGCATGTCCTCTGGGCCACGTCGATAGCCTCTTGGCTCTTATTGACCTTAGTGGGATGTGTCCTGTCATACTGCGGTGACTTCCCACCACTACAAGGCTGACTCCAGTGCCTTATGCAAATACATATTCATATACGTGTTAAAAAGTCTGCAAAAATTTGGAAGACGAAGCAATTTCTTCATTAAGAGCATGAAACATGGAGATTTAGACGAAAAACCATAGACCAAGGGCAAGCCTTTTGAAAAGATTGGAGGTTTTGTGAGTTTTAGACAAGTCTCTAAACAATTATCAACTTGATATGTAAACATCACAAAAGATTGCTCAAAAGTAGCACAGAAGCTTCCTCTTGCATATGAAAAGCCAAATTAAAGCAGCTTTGAAAGACTTTTATGCTGATGGCGATGCCAGTCAAAGCCGCCGTTTAACATCGACAACGGCGGTACGTAACGTCAGAATTGCACGCCAAGAGGAATTACAATACATACCACCTCGAAAGGATGATGAGCGAAAACGGCAGATACGAGGAAGCCGCACTTGAGGAGCAAATTACACCAGTAAAGACACGACAACAACAAAAAAACCAAATAAAGTGTCATTTATCGGCACTCAATAATTTGTTCTACTCTGTCGTTTCTTACTGAATCTCAGAAGAATAACGGAGAGTGATAAAGAAGAAAGCTCCTTAAAATAGCCTCATGTGGAAAATTCTGATGACTAAAACGCAAAGTGTATTGTCTTACCTAGCATCATTTTAGCCGGAGATTCAGGCGGAAGCCAAAAGACGACGATTGTGAGAGAGGAGAGGAGGATGCAGGGCACAACAAGAATGAAAATGTAGAAGCTGGGGTTGCGGTGTAGGCGCACGCGGTAACAGAGGACGGTGTACTGCCTCGTGGTGACTACATCCCCGTCTGTTTGGTTTCTCTCCTGATATCTCTTATAGGCCTTTATCTAGAAAGTAGTATACCTCTTTCCACTGGCCATAGTTAAAATGACGGTTGTCAAGCCCAATCTACTTTTAAAGCGATAAATCAGCAGCTTTGCCTCGAACTAAAAATAATCACCGCCCCTTCCACAAGCCTCCTTTCATGCACATTCTTCGGTGAACGCGAACCTCGCCTACCTTTGACTTTACTAAATAGTGACGAATACCCGGATGGAGGCACAATAAGTATCTAATTTTCTTGCTCCAAGAAGGATGCGTTGATTGGACGTCGCAAGGAGTGGTGCGATGCACTTTAACAAATCCAAGAAAGTAGTGGTGTACGTGAGTCAGGAGGTCGTGTCAAAAGACCTACCACCTGCATGAGGGCAAAATTCAAAATACTCTATCCGATGCTTCATTGTTACTACCCCCTTGGTAAAAACAGTGTTTCAGCCTAGCCCACCAACATCACATGCATGATTTAGCTACTGGTGGTAGTTATTCACTGTGACAATCATAGGCTTAATAGAGGTTAAAGTTGGTCGTATTCTTAAGCGCAGAGTTTAGTTGATAAAAAACGATCGCATTTCTTTCTTTCCTTCTGCCTGAGTGAAGTTGCCAACGTAAGGCATTTCCAACAGAGGAGTAGAGCAGTGTTTGACAGAAGAGCTACTTCAGATCCCCTGATAGTCTCAGCTTATGAAGCATAAACAAGCAACATACTCAAAGCCAACTCATTGAACTCCATCGTCTGGTTTGTTGACAAAAATAAGCTGTTCGATTAGTACCGCTATTGTGAAAATAAATAAAATGGGGATCTAAAACTCGTGTCTATCCCGGTTTGTCAAAATATGGTAGCTTGCTTTTTTGCCTCAGAGAGCATTACTCACTTCGGGACAAGAAAATACGTTGAAACTCGAAAAAACAATTGAATGAGGCTTTTGGAATGGTGTTAATCAGAGATTAAACTAGTGAGGCGAGGCTCTATGCGTAGCTAAGCTGTGGAGCTTGGTAGCTCCTACTGTGACAGCTTGCAATGAGGAGGAGGAGGAGGAGGAGGGAGGACAAAGAGGGTATGACACTTTCACGTCTCTTGATTAACACACCAAATGTAATTTTATGTATTTGGTATGCTCGAGTGAAAACACAGGCAGTCTGTTCCCACTCGAATGTAGCGACCAATTGTTGAGGAAAAAATGCTAAATTAACAGCAAGTTCTGTATTCACCTAAACTCACCCCAATGTTGTTGAGGAGAGATATTTTCAAATTTCGTACGATAGCAAACACAAAGTAGCAGTGTAACATTTCAATTTTTTTCAAAATTATAATCATGACATTGTATGGAAACCTTTTAAAATCCTATTGAAGTCAAAAACGCAAGCTAACTTCCGATGCGCTACATTGAAACCAAAACATCACTTTTGCGATGAGGCAATCATTTTCACCATCCATGCGAAAAAGCGTACGCTGTTTACAACAAACGTCTTACTTGTGAAATGTAAGTTAGTTTTTCAAAACGGCAGGCTGCGCATAATTGACGCAGTACGCAAAAGCCAAAAGCGTGTGATGTGACTAGAAAAAGAGCGATCCGCATACTTAGAATGGACTTCCCAACACGAAGTCAAAGAGCCAATGTGTCAGTGAATATTAAGTCTAATCACCCTTGGCTATTGCAGAAATCTAACAGCAATACACATCCGAGCTCATCCCCTGCTCAGAGGAATCACAACCGGATCGAATGTGTTAAGAGGTCAGAGTACCGACATAGGGGGCTAGAAACAAGGCTGTGGAAGACATGGTTCTTATAAGGCACTAAAGCCAAAACAAATAAACCAAGATCAGATGAGAGCGAGTCTGTGGATAATAATGAGTAATCGCAAAGCTTCAAATGCAAAATGTAACCTGTTTACAGTGAACTGATGAAGTTAATACATGCGCAATAATTTTGATTCTAATGTCTTTTAAAAGGGCCGGTAGGTGTCCGTAAGGGCTAAAAGGAAATGTGGCAAAAACTCTGATAACAACAGTATCGCTATACACTTTTAAATGCCAGTACAAGTTGGCCATGTAACATCTGCCCTACCCAGTCGTCGACAGATTTGAAGGCCCCCACTTATGGACAGGATGGCTTGTTCCTATGGGCCCATGACAGTGAAAGTGTTAAGCAGCCTCGATTAGAGCGTGAAAGAGGCTATTACTTTGCGACTGACCTGTTTGGTGCGGTTGGTGTGCACAATATCCTTCTCTGCCTCACCGTCGGTCCTCCACTCATTGCTGGGCACATAGTCCACAAAGTCCACGTAAGCCATCGGGATGGGTGAACTGGAAGAGATCCACCAATCCAACTCCAACTGCGTCCGATCGTATGTCCACGAACCAAACTCCAGTGTGCATATCTTCACATAAAAATTTCATGAGTAGATGTAAAACCACGTAGGTTGATGCAATACACTATGACATTTGCGAATTTGGTCTTTTATAAACAATCGGCAGTCTTATTTAAGGTTAGCTGTTGAATTGCTCGTGTCTTGGATCTAACGTCTCTGTTGTAATACTCCATGCGTTTGTACAAATATACGCGTCCGTGTGATTGGAGTCTGACTAACACACGGCGCCGATTCGACTTCTCACTTCATCTCCCAAATGGGTGTTCAAGCAATGCTTCTCTGCAAAGGCATGGATTTCCTAAATAAACTAGATGTTATTTTGTGCAGCTAAATAGACCAGTGGTATTGCATGCAACCCTCAATTCACTTGGTGCATGAAAGTGGTTGACGGCTGCCAATCTGTAAATTACCTGGGTATCGAAAGGAAAATAGGTGATTTCAACTTGGCAGGTGCTTTTGAAGAGAGCCTGTGGAATCCAGAGTATGCTACCATCACTGTGAACGACGACTCGAGCTATTCGATGCTCCCGAATGCGTTCGTCAGCACTGGAAAAGTGAAATAGGAAGCTGTTAGAAGGATAAGAAGAAGTAACTCCCATCATTTTTTTCTTATTATCTTGACGAGGTTTCCACCTAGTAACTCGCACCGATCTTATTATTCCTGTTTAAGCTAGGGAAATTACTATTTCAAACACCTGACTTGCCTAGTTAACCCAATTTTTTTTCAAGATAAAAAGCAAATCCTTGAAGGGTGAACTTCGACGCATGAATGGCCACAGCACAGTGAACATGAATGGTTCACAGTTGAGGGATTTGAAAGTACTTTTAAACTAGGTAAAAATGCAGGAATCTTCGTAAGTCTGTAGGATGGAAGTCTACTACTCACAAATTAAAGAGCTGAATATCCGGAGTCCAGACTTGAGAGGGGAAGATTCGAACTTCCGTGACATTTCCATGTTCAGCGGGATCCCATTGAAGGAGTGCATCGTGCCATTTCTAACGCAGCAGAAGATGGTCATCAACGATCACTTATGCGGTTTTTAGGAAACATTGTGGCACTCATTCTCCTTTATTCCAAAGGGGTGATGCGCTCCTACATCAAAGTGTAGGACACTTTGTGGAACTTAATAAAGTTGACAAAGGCTTTCCCTAAGGTTGATTACTTGCTATTTTAGCAACTAACTAAACTTCAACACTATTCGTACCGTCGCATGTTGGGGCACTGCTACTAGCCTCACTTTTGGACGCAACATGAACACATTTTACCTAGTCTATACGGTTTAACAATTAATAAGATTTCTTCAGCTGATGACAGAATCAAACTTACCAAATCGTGGAACTTATTAAAGAGAACCACGTGCTAATAGTATAGTATCAGACATGCACACGAAGTGGAATAGCCATTACTTTTTATAACCAAGCGACCTGAAAAAAACTATGACCTGATCTATACTTTGTAAAATCTCATCATCCCCTAGACAGAGTGTTAAGTAAGGTAACAAGTTTGCGTGCCATTTGTTAGCTCCTTGTTAGTCAATCAGAAGAAATAAAAGGCCAAAGGAAACTTACATACATAGACCAGCAGTTTGTATGCAGAATTTGCTTGTTCTCGTCCAAGTCAAGGATCTGAATGAGCTGCAGCCCATAGTTCACCTTGAGGATTGTCTTGCTGTCGCTCACAGGCCGCCCAATCACTCCATATCGACGATATCGCTCAATCAGCATACGAATGAGCGCCTTCTCAACTGATTTGGTCTTATTTACTGTCAAGTGAATAGTAGAGGTTAAGCTAGGAGAATGTCCCAAGTCATGGGAGCGCATTTAAGCACTTTGGTAGACACATCAAAATCTGTCAGAGACGGACCAAGTGGAACTGAAGTCGACTGCTAGTACTTCACAAAGCAACTCAATAGAAAGCTTTGCAGTCCTAAAAGCAACGGGGAGAAGTTAATCCAACCGCTTTCACAACCAAACCTGTTTCTGTCGTCTTTTTACCCTGAACACGTGTGGACTACTCCGTGTAAGGGCCTAATTGAAACGAGGGACCAAGTCGTTTCAGCACATCTCGGCAAGCACTAAACAAAGGATAACTTATTTAAGTTGTCACGATTTGCTCATTATCCAAAAACCTTATTGTTTCTATTGCTAGGGGATGACGTCGTTTGATTTTTAAGCAAAAGTGGGCGTAATTTTAGCAACTGAGATGTGACGTCATCCTGTAGCCTCATTTGAGAGAATGACTACAGCGAACAGATTATTGTGTTGCGGAAATGCATACACCAGAACTCAAGTTGTACTCCTAGTTGGGAGAATCGTGACTAAAACAAACTGTAGTTTACAAGCCAGTATTTTTTCGTTCCGTACTTCAAACCCAAGTAACTAGTCGGCAATTGTATGCCTGATGCAGGCTGGAAATGTGATAGATTTGGTGCTAGATAAGTTTAAAATCGCAGCTATAGCAACGACTGCGTTATAATGCAGTTTTTCAGGTAGAAATGCTTACTTTTGGGGTGACCTTTGGGTGCTGGACCGAGGAGTCCATGCCCAGCGAGCAGAATCACCAGGAGACATAATAGAGCAAAACGATGTCTCATACCGAACACAGGTAAATGGCATGGATGCAAGTGGGCGAAAGAAATGCTGTGAAATGGGCATGATATTGCGTGAAAAGCCGCATTCACAGATGGTGATTTGATTGGCCGGTTCGTCGACGATTTCATTGGCTCTGGTGCACCATCGATTGTCACTGCTTCGCGCATATAAACAGCAAACGAATTTTACCTCAATTTCCGTATAATAATCTTTCAGTAAATGGGCGGTGACTCTAATTCAGATGTCAAAATGCAACTACTCAGAGGAAAATCGTTTATTGTGTCGAGGATGAAAAACTAAAATGATAAATGCCCAGTGCGTTACCTGCTCAAAGACAAATTACTCCACATTCTGGAACAGTAGTACTAGGAAAATGTGCGACACGACCTTCAATCAAGGTCGAGGATTCGGAACTGATGCAAAACGCTCTTTAATTTCTGCACTGCAATTCCATCAATGTGATAAAAATCTGTAATGGGCTGCTTGCGAACTCCACGATCTAATTGTCCACCCTTGGAGCGACTTATAGCGATGTAAATAGCATTTTAATCGAGGAAAGTAATATATTAAGAGGGCTATGGCTACACTTTTGACATGCCCATTTAGAGTTTGCAAGAAATAGATCAGAAACGCACACTCGACAAGATCCAAATTTTATTCTCCAAGAGAGCCCAACTAGAAAACGACAAGAACATATGCTACTAACAGCAGTCCTACGGGGGATTTATGTTCCTATTTGATTAAATATTCAATGTCTTCACAAAATGAATTGATTAAAAGGTGAATTTTGAGGAACAGATTAAGAGTCGAATAAGTAAACGCAGAATTGATTTTCAAATAGAAGTGCTTTAAAATATTCCAGTCAACACGCCTGGAAGTTGACGAAATCTGAATTTCACAAAACGCGGAAGGCTCGGTTGTTGAACAGAGGTGGTAAAGCAAATGACGAGCATTTTCTTCGGTATGAGAAAATACGCTACTGTTGATGAATTAGTAGGTGAACAGAGGTGCCTAATGTTCAGTGTGAGTACTTCCGATAAGATAATTGCCTGATGACATAGTACAAACACCTTTCGATAGCACCGTATACGTTTGCGCGTGATTTAACGCAGTATCTGACCGGTACAGTAAATAGAACATCAACACTTGTTCGGAGGCTTTTGTACATTATATATCTACACACGATAATAAGAGAATTTACCAGTTCATGATGACCCCACTAGCTACAAGCACAGAGGTGTGAGCATCCACATTCAACTGTCCACTAGCGATTGATACGCCACTTACAATAGCTGCTAACTGTTATGACCATCGATTCTAAACTCGAATTTCTTTAACTCTCGCATAGGACCCTACCAATGGACAACAGACGGAGAGGCGGCCGTTGATGTTAGTCTCACCGACATACACGATACACCAACTACGGGTGACACTCGAATCAGAACTCCAGAATACCAAGAGGAAGGGTACCAAGTAGGGGAGGTGGTCAGGTAGTCACACCCCGTATTACTGTGTACGAAGATGAGGTTATGCTGCAGAAAAAAAAATGCAAACGCAGTCACGGCTCGGCCACTAATGCCTCTGCACCACCAATTTGTAGGCTGACGTTACTCTCGAGCTACTTCTCGATCCCAGAGACCCACACTGCAGGTATCTAGTTTCATTGAGCTTGATCTGTAGATACCATTTTAGCCTCCGACATTCCGTTCCCCACATCATGATACCTGTGATGCCAGTCTCTTGACTCCCCTTTAACCAAATAATGGTTGTTCGTTGACTTTTACAACACATAACAGTTTCCAAAGGTGACCTTCTGTTAGAACATATGAAACTCCGTAGTCAGAGTTAACTAGAACCCGTAAATCATGCCTCATTGCTTCGAGGTAAGTAACACCGTCCAACTATCAAAAATTCATTTTCAATGCTTCCCTGCTTAGAGGTTTACCAAATTCTCTTTCACCTGTGTGTCGCACCAAAAGCGGCTTAGGAAACAACTAAAAATCTTGCATTATTTAGTCGATGACATTCTCAGAGAAGGGAAAAAAAGGTTAAATAACTTTAATAGAAAAAAACGAGAACAGCAGAAATCAGGCGCACCTCATTACGCCTGGTGCTGTTCTATTTCCTGTAGAGAGGTATCGTAATCAGTGGGGGAGATTTCGTTAGCAACGTAGAGGGAAGGTGCACAGACCATGTCGCGATGCACAGCGAGGTGAGCTGCATCAATGCGCCCAGCCAGAGTTTGGTCGCCTAGGCCGCGGCATGCTGAGCAGACGTGGCGCAGAAGCTCGTCAAGGCGTTGTAGCGCGCGCAGTACGTGACCTTCAGGCACATCAACCCCACTCGTATTTATCAGTCCCATCACTGCCGAGAAGGGTTGCCCGGAAGCCCACGCGAATGTTGCGCCCACCAGTACCGGGTTCAGTCTCGTGTCCGCGTCTGCATCATGTACACCGCACTCTAGTTGCAGTCGCTGCAACTGTAAACACATTACATTATGCCGGTATTGAAGTAAAATTGGAAGGCCACAGAGAAGTTAGTTAAGGCGGGTAAACGATGGTTTGATTCCATCATGGCCCAACGGCATCACAGAAGATGCTGTAAATGAACTTGAAAAGTTAAAAATAAATCAGTTTTATTTGGGAAACATTATATTGATCATGTATATTTTAGTCAGTTCAAGTGCCTTCTCGTATGCTCAAAAAAGAAATAAGTGCCCTTCAATATGAATACGAAATACTTTGATTGCACATGCGGCGTTTGAATACGTTAGAACTACAATGACTCGCAAAAGATATCTAAGGTCATGGCCGTGCAAAGTTGCCCAACCTGTTCAGCCTTGGCGAGCATGAGACGAACTGTTGATTGAAGGTGTTCAGGCACGGTAATGGGCAGGAGAGAGAGATCACATGGGTCACAGGTGAAGGTAGTACCTGTGTTCTCTACCTCCTTACGGGGAGCAAGGGCCACATGAGGCGCAATAGACTCATTTTTCAACACCATTGTCCCAAAGCCACCACAGCTACTGCCACCACCAACCATTCCAGATTCACAAACGAAGCATGAGAGGAGAGCAGCAATGTCTGGAGGCGAGAGCTGAATTATAGAGCCATCAAAAAGGACCTCAGACAGCAACACCTCCATCTGCTGCAATTCACAGGCCACTATACCTGTAAAGAGGAAGAAATGCCTATAAAACGCGTAGCGTGTTCTTGTACACATATATTTAGTCCAAAAATGAAGTCATAGGTACATTTTATACAAATGCTAAAGAATAACAAATATTTATTCCACTGAAATATCTCGCAACCTACAGAATCCTTTTCAAAACTCAGTGAACTTTACCAATTCGCATTTACAATTACAGAAAACAATTGAATGACCCAAATATTGTTCAGGAATAAGAACATCAGAGATCTATGAAATGATGCCCCTAATAGGGTTTGGTCAGGAAGAATTGGCAAGCTATGACACAGCTCAGGGTTTCACAAAGACGAGGATTAGCGAAAGGGCTACGCTACGTTAGCCGCTCATGTACGCGAATTGAACAAAAATGTACCCTTGCGAGTGAGACATCCAGATCGAGTATCCTTGTCGAGAAAGCCGAGTTCTTCAAGGACACGGACTCGAGCCTCGTAATCATGGAGAATAGCATCTTGGCTCCTGCTTAGCTTTGCATTGAGACGTTTAATAGCCCAGCGGCGCCGTGTGACCCGATGCATGAGACTCAGATGGGCAACGAGATTTGGACAGGTGGATACTTGGGACGAGAGGTGATGCTTGACGGGGGCAGCGGTTAGCTCCTCTGTTAGCGCCATCCACTCTTCCGCCTCAGAGCCATCTAAGCCGAGGTGCTGCCAGAATGGGATGTTCTCAAAGCCTCCAATATCATCTACGGAGGTGGCCATGGCGGTAGCGGCAACAAAGAGAGCCTCGTTGGCGATAGAAAGAGGAGAGATCTGTTGTCGCCGCACACCAAGAGCGCCTGTGTCGTCAGTATCGTCGCGCTTCTTGCGCGCAACTACGAAAAGACCCTCAGAAGAGGCCATCTGTTGCTGACGGAACCGAGTGAGGTCGCGCAACACGGTCTCTACAAAGGTTTTGTCGCTAGCGCCTTCTATAGTGCTGCAACTGACACCCAGTAATGCCGTCAACGGTACCTCAGTTAGCACAACTAGACGAGATTTACTTTCTTCTTGTGACTAGGCAAAGGAAACGGATATAGATAGCATGAGATTATAGACTTGACTGAAAAAGACTAGAGAAGGCTAATGAACCTTAGAGTCAAGCCTCATTTTTTGAAATCATTGCGAGACTATACGAAAGAGCACACATACTTTAGGGCAGTACTTTGGCATCAAATGTGGTGGAAAGGGTGTACATCCGTACTGTGGTTTTTCCCCATCTACAAGAATGTCCTCCTCCTCTGCAGACCCTCCAATTGTTGTTGTACAATCCTCCACTGGCGAAGGTGGCAGTTCCCAGGTGATTACTGTGAGCTGGAAAATAACATTACAAGCCGTGGTTATTCAAAACAGTTTAAAACTTGGTGGTCAGTTCTGATTATGCGCTACATCTGGTGTTCAACTAACTCCTTTACTTAAACAGCAAGAGGTCAAATTCAGACTGTTTAGGTCGATCAACATTTCATCAAATTGATTATCCAAACCAGCCTTACATACCGTTAATACATTGGTAACTCTTGTAATCTCAAGAACAACGCCCACAGTGATCCAATTGGGTACGCATGTAGAGCCAATATGGGTAGCAAAACGTCCACCAGACATGCTCTGCGCAGCTGAACGCATCGACTCAGCGGAAAGTTGAAGCAGCACCAGGCGACCGGGAGGGAAGACTTTGCTAAGTGTCGACAGCGGCTGGTTCCCCACAGCACTCGAACACACAAATGAGAGCTCACGCCAACGACAGCACGACTAAAAAAAACCAGATGGTATGAGTAGAAGGCTAGAGTAAGTGTGGAGAGGAGAGCATCCACGCACAAGGTAATAACCGGCAATCGCTTCGATACAGGGCATCATAGCCGAGTCCTGGGAGTCGAGAGGGTGAGTAGGACAGCGTACCGCTGCGCAATCAAGGATCGCGTCGTCATCGACTTGATTCGAGATAGCAACAGGCGCTACCTTACTGATAGTGATCTGAGCCGATGCTTTCCGTACCGTTGACGCGTTTACCAACTGCCGCAACCAACTCAGTTGCCGCTTTCGTACCAACTCATAGCGCAGATCATTCGCGTACATAAAGCTCTGGTGAATGAGTTCCTAGGTTAAGTAAACATCGTTACTGTCAGGCTTAGAAGAGTAATTTCCCCTAAAGGAAAAGGATGCGACAGGCGAACCTGAGGTGTCTGAAGATTGCCACGGTGAAGATAGAGAATCATGGAGTAGGTGACTTTGAAGCGGGACGTCAATTTAGTGGCCTGACCGAGGAGCATCTGCTGCAGCTGCAGGTCAGTGGGCATAGGGCTGTCACAGTTGTTCGCCATTATGATCACTGTTCCAGTAGAATCTAAGCCTCGTCTACCTGCTCGTCCCGCCATCTGGGTGTACTCGCCTTTCGGGTCAAATAAACTGTTACTACGACATAACTATTAATGAAGTTGGGCTACTACAAAAGAACGGCGCCCGATGCCGCTTTGTCGACTAGGCAGATGGATAAGGTAAGGAAGTAGTTAATTGAAGGTACCTGCAGTTAGAGGTCTGCGCTGGTCGCCATCGTGTTTTTGAATAGCCGTAAAGACAACGCAGCGAGCAGGCATATTGACACCCATAGCAAAGGTCTCTGTGGCGAAGAGAATTCGCACCAAACCCTGTTGAAAGAGCATCTCGACGACCTATTAAGAAAGGCATCAACCACCTAATTTTCATAACGATACCGCTCACAGTGATTACATAACGCACGAAGAGATAAATGGTAATACTATTCACATTATGTTTGCATTAAAAAGACAACGAAAAAAATAATAAATTTGACGTTTGAAGACTCTCAAAAACATGTAATTTTGGTACACCATTCCATTTTGTGATAGAGAAACTTGGGAGAATTGGCTTATTTGCACAATTTTTATGCTTCAAATATTTATACTAAGCATTTTCTCAACCGACCAAACTCATAACTACATAATTATAAAGTCGAAGAACTTGTCCATAATCTTTCTGTGCAACGAAATAAACTTATGAATAAAGCAATCCCAATGCAATCTCCTAGTGTGAGAAGCTAGCGTTAATATGAAAATAGAACGACGATCGCGAAAAAACTTCTTGAAAAACTTGAGGGAATGAACTAGGCTTTACTGCTTTAATGCAGTAGGGAGCGAGTGTACCATACCTCCTTGAGGAGAGGCAGCATGCCAGCGTGATGGATGGCAATGCCGCGGAGCGTAAGACTGCGAACAAGAATAACTTGAGAAAGTAGCTTGTCAGAGCCCTTCAGTCGAGGCCCTATGGCGGCGCGTAGGAACGTCACTACCTTGTTCTTCTCCGCTAAAGAGTAGAGCAATCTCACCGAAGTCCAGCATAGCCTACTCTGCCAGTCTCATGAATTATATTGTACAAATAAAAGATTCGAGCGAGTTATTTCGCTGGGTATCTACAGCGAAATCTACAGCAAATCTACACACATACTAGAAAGTGTCAGTTGATCCACTTACAAGGTTTTAAATTTATGAAGAGTAGAGAATATCCTCTATTATTCCTATACATTTGATTCCTGGACATGACTGCTTTTAACCGTTTATTAGTGCGACTAATTTTGTAACAAGGCCAACTAAAGAAAAGAAAGGATGAAGACCTACACTTGTTGAGGAGATCAATAGAGTCGAGACACTGCACGAGGTTGTTGATTTTAGCACGCGAGAAGCAGAAAACAATGACGGGCATGAGCTCATGCTCCTGCAGCATGCGAATCAATCCGGACCAAACCGTTATGTCAGACTTGCCACTACGATTGTAACCCTCCGCGGCTGCTTCGAAGCAGATTTATAGGGAAAGTAATTAAGTAAGAATGGGAAATTTAGTCGCAAAGCTCAAAGCAGTAGAAAGTCTAACAAGCTAAATACACCAACAGGAGCATATGGCGATCCCAAATAGAACTGTCAATGGCGTTTTTCCTTACTAGAGGCTCTGTAGTAAACTTTAGTTAAAAGTGAATATGGAAGTGCGTTTCGAAATGTTAAGAAGAGGAATATCAAAAACATCGAGGAGCTGAGATTTAAGCGCGAAGAAAGGCAAAATTCGTTGCCTACCTTTGGGAATGTAGTTTTGCCTACCTGGGGTGTTGACCTTACCCCCAGTAAACTGAGACTTGGGCTTCTGCTTAGCCACTTTGTGAACGATTTCATTGGAATCAGCAGCATCAACAAATACCGCAGTCTTGGAAATGTTGCCCTGCTTGTTCACCTTTTTGGGTTTAATCAGCGAGTTCTTAGCATCCTGGTAACCTGGATAGCGTGGTGAAAAAATATTTTCTAATCTCGCATTAGTTTAATCAACATTTGGAGTCGCAAAGCACTTGATGTGAAAAGAATTCGAAGAAAGTTTTCATTTAGTTAAAACTGATTTATCATGGGCTGAATGACATTTACACACTCAGGGTCCTGGAAGTTTGAAAACGAAGACCGCCATGAGCTAGTGTTGAGGCTTAATTTAAATTCTTTTAAAATGACAGTGGTTAATAAGCTTGCTCAAAGCAGAACCTCAGCCAGTACAAAATAATGATATTCACACAATGTGGAGAAGTGGGAAAGATGTAGAAGGAGGGAGATGCATCACCTTCGCGATTGAACCGACCCTCTTTGTCAACTACAAGGTAGACATTCTCACGGGTAACGGAGTCGCAGCCGGTGTAGACGTGGTGTTCGAGGGGAACGGGACGCCGGTGCGTCTGACAGACATGAATAGTGGTACCGCCACGGATGCGGCCCAACCAGTCAGCAAACTCGAGGGCGTTGGGCAATGTGGCGCTCAACAACACCAGCAACACATGTTGTGGTAGTAGAATCATCAATTGCTCCCACACATGGCCTCTATCCTTGTCGTTCATGTAGTGTACCTACCGAGTATGAGAATCATATAACCTCTATCTCTCCCTGATCTGCTGCTGCTACTGCGCTTTACCAGCCTATTCTGTTACTTCGACACACTAGAAATAGGCAAAACCCAACACGACAGCAATTGCCATGGGTTCTTTCGACCCACTCAAAGTTTGTTCAAAATGAAAATAAAGTGATTACTGTCGGATCGGAAGCGTATCACATCTATTTGCTAATCTACTATACATTCTCGTGTCAAAATAAGAGGCATCATATATATATGGCGCTGGAAGCGAACATCAAAATGCACCGCAACGTGGCGGTGCTGCATATCGACAAGGTTACAAATATATTAGTAAAATCCGGAACGCCTCACTATTGACTTGTGACTTATGCATATTTTCCTTCGCTATTTTAGGGGGTGGATAAGCGGAACGTGCTAACGAGTGTACACACCTACGTGACCCACAAATGGAGTATGACCGCCGAACATGCGAGAGTTCTGCAGTAATAATGCAGCTGAGAAATGTAACGACAGATATAAACTAAATGGAACCCCCAACCAACATGGTGGACTAATAGGCTATTCGATTTTTGAAAACGAATTCTTTACTAGAAAGCAAGTAATTTATGTAAACACAACTGCCATTATTCACCTGCCCATTCTTATGTAAAATAAGCAATCTCATCAGTCTAAGGTCAGAAATGTTATATTTTGCTGTTTTGAAGTACAGTAAAGTTCTTATTTGTTTTGATGCATTATTTACCATAATGGCCCAATAACGGATGCCGTTAACTGACAAAAGCCCAAATAAAAAGATTAAACAGGATCCTCGGAATTACTGGGATGAATGGTAGCCATCCTTTGACAGAAGTCATGCGAACAGTAAGATAAACATGTACTGACAGAGAAGATGAGGGAATCTGTTTTGGCTGCATAGAATTCATTACTGCTAGAAAAACCTATTTCTTTAATAAAATTGACGAGCGTAACCTCTTCACAAAACTAGGGAATAGCATAGTATCGATCCAGCAGGCCAACGCAATCTAGGAACAGGGAGAGAGAGAACTACCTCATCCATGATGACAATCTCGAGGTCGCGGATGGTATCAGCCGAGTTGCAGAGCATATTGTGTAGAATCTCCGTGGTCATTACGAGGACACTTGACTTCGTGGCCACCTTGATGTCACCTGTTAGCAGGCCCACGTCTTCCCCGAAAGTCTGCCTAAGTATGGGCGGTAGGATGTGGACCTAAGTTCTTATTGGTATCTCCTGATCTTTAGAAATAGTCCGTCTATTCGCAGTAATGAAACGTTTAAAATGAGCAGATATTATGCAAAGGATTTAGCAAACAAGTATTTTAGATGACCGTTCTAAGTGCGCAGACGCTAACCGCAAATTGTAGCTACAACTTGCACTATACTATGGTGAAAATTTATTAACATTTTGTTGCTCTGAATAACTTCTGAGAAAGTTTTACGTGACCCCAAAAGAAAAAGTTCAAGAAAACAGTTAAGGCTCGACTTTACCTCCATTTTGTAATTGATATTTGGACAAAATCCGAAGAAATTTGTCACTGCAGATTGTATAAGTTTTAACTTATATAAAAATAAACCTAGCACGGTTAACTGATAATTGTGGTCACTATCGAGGGTTTATCTACCGTGTAAAGCCACTGATACATTACCAAGAAGCATTGTGGGTTGTGTTGCAGAGAAGGAACACTTTAGAAAGGAGACAATTGATAAATACATACTGAAGTTTTCGCCTATGAGTAAAAAATGCATTTCTGATCGCAATAACGTCAAGAGCATCATTTAGGAGCTCTATCTCGGTAATGGAATGTAAATGACACCAGCATAAAAATATGCTACATAGATCAGCCACAGTAGCCATCGAAATAGAACAACAAAGATTCTGAGCGAAACGGAATATTGAGTGCATGGAATGCAATAAAAGCGTCTTAATACTTTGCTTGAGAATAACTGTTCTCAGACATTTAAATCAAACTTTATCAAAATTCCGGCCAGGTACCCAAGAGCTATGTTATAAGCGTAATCTCTGCCTTCACCGAACTTTTACAAGTTTCGTATAGAAAATAAAATGCTATAAGCCTCACAATTTCAATAATAGCATTCAGAGTTTCACTTTTTCCATGCGGCTTAAGCTAAATTGCTTTATTAACACAAAGTACTTCATTGACTCTGATCCATTGCATTTTAACTACAGCAGGAAAATATGATGGTCATTGGGACAAAAGGGCCGACCAAAGGTGAAGAACAACATCAGTTGTTAGCCGACGATGTCAAAAAGAAGCAAACTCAGAGTATAATTTAGGTGAATACCTGAAGTCACGAAATTTTTGGTTTGAGAGAGCCTTGATGGGGCTGGTGTATATGGCCCGGGAGCCGCGGCGTTTACACATGGCACATGCATATTCTGCAACCACCGTTTTACCTGCCGAAGTGTGTGCCGCCACGAGGACCGATTGGTTCCGCTCCAGGCAGAGGATTGCCTGCTTCTGGAAGGTGTCCAGCTCAAATGGCCACTCAAAAGCCGGGTCGGGAATCAGCTCCGCCAAAGGCCCCAACACTTCGATGTTACTCTCCTACCGTATGCGCGGATGAAAATTATTTGGTTATAAAAGATATACCCGAAACTATGACTCAGGACTAGTGGCAGATAAATTATAAGAATTCCCTACTACAGTCTGTCTTACTTCTGTCAGTTATGGTCAAACACACAAAATGAACATTTGTAAATTATGCAAGACCTTATGAATGGAAGTGCAAACTCAAGCGATCAATTGTGGTTGGACCAGAATTCCAGTGCAGCTAAGCTATCGACGATCCTGAGGAATTTGAAGGCTTTAGATAATGAACATCATATATTGATAGAATTAGCAAAACATGGAATTCGTTCTTAGGTTTCAATGCTGAATGGTGATCGTTAGGGTTTCAAATTTCCCATGCAAAATATGGCGCTTGTATTGAATGTTACAATTGTACAATCGACATTGACCAATGCTTAGAATAAAGGCGCAAATTCCGAATACATCAAGTTACTGAGTGGTAATCAGTACAAAAATGCTTACTAGCACTGCATGCGAAGTTAACTCATTGCTGAACTGGTGCAATCGCTCCTCCAACTTTGTTGGAGTTTCAAGATGAGCCGTATCCTTCTTTTCTTCCTTGTCCTCTTTTCCTTTGCTCTCTGACTTAAGGTCACCTGCGCAACTTGCCGATTCCTGTCTGGATTGAGCACAAAGCGAGAGAAATTCCTCAGAGCAGAGTGAGAGATAACTATCAACCAAACCGTTTGCCGAAGCTGTGGGAACATTGACAAAGTGCTCTTTCAGAAGACTTTCGCCATCACTACTGCCGTATGGCGAAAGTAGTTTACAAATGTCCGCTAGAAATGGGTCCGCCTTTGACGATCCCTGAGCTGATAGATTTGAGTTTGAACTTGCGTCTGAAGCGAACAGATTGCCAGAGCAAGAGCAGACTATGTAATCGTCGACGACCTCGCCACTGTCAAAATCACGAGGTACCTCAGCCTCGAAATGAGCAAGAGGGAGAGAGGGATCGGGAAATGAAATGGGTGGCTGCGCCTTGGAAAGAGGAAGTTCCTCCTGGTTAACCAGTGGGTCAAAAAAAGCAACAGAGAGCAGTGGTTCCAGAGTCCAGGGATCAAGACTCTTGGGGCAGACGGTAAGGAGCTGTTCAATATCGCTCGATTTCAAGTTCATTGTGCATAACTCTAGACATGATATTGAGAAGAGTATTACCTGATAGATAGTGCAGCGCTGGTAGCGAGCATTGATGCAGTAGTGGAATAAAGGTTACGTTTAACATCAAGAGTGGGTGATCAGCCAAAATCGAGTGGTTATATAATTGCTAAATATCGTGGTAGACTAAAATAATTAGATGCGGAATTAGGATTCAGCCAACAGTTGACAAAATGGATGTTGCGTAATAACCCAGACACAAACGCATTCGGCCTGGGAAGACAAAGCAACGTTGTGGTGCCATGCCTCCAAATACGAAATCGTGCAGGCATAGCACATGTCACGAATTCAGTGTCCAAAGAAATTACTTTGGTCATGGGTGACGTTCGGGTACGAAAAGCCTAGCGTGGTTTATTCACAAGTTTCATTCTATATTAACTCGAATGGCTTGTGCTTATGACTCAACTTCAAGCACATTTTGCTCAACTCAATACATGCATTCGAAACTTTACAAAAGAGAACACTAAAGATTGTGTGAAGCAATGCATTAATGAATATCATAAACAGAAGCTCCCGCTCACGCGTCCCTGCGACCACCCATGCAGCGTTGAAGTATTGCGTTTCGAGGCCATGCACTAAAACATACTTGCGAGGAAAAACATTAAAATGATAAAGCCGGCAATATGGTCATGTAAAATACTAAAGTTGCTTAAATTTTACGCAGTTAATAGGCTAAATATATTCACAGTTTGTGCAAAATATTTTTCACTTTTTTTGCGTCGTAGCATTCGGGCAACAAATCTTTATCCTAACGTCTTTAATGAGCTTAGATTAGGGTTTCAAAAGTATCCTGTTATCCAAAGAGTTAATCAATTTAGATACTTGTCAATGTTTTGGTTATTTCTGTGACGTATGAGACTACTCACTGGGAAGTAAAAGGCATTAAATTAGACCGAACATATGCCTCTAAGAGCAATTAGGATCTAATTCCCAGCCGGGTGACCACCCCACATGTACAAGTGTGAAGCCAATACCAAATTAACCTCCAGACAACATCATTACACTGCCCCCTCGAGGGTCACCGAAACATTTAATAGGCCATTTAGCACCCCATCGCTTTCCACTAAATTGAAAAAGGCGTTGGATTAGACGGAATGTAATGCTTTGTTTATGCGACCACCTGACGTTTGGCGGTGACATTAGGATTTGTCTTATCCTTGCATTCGTGGGATAGACTTCTGGCCACGCCTAGGTCCATTCGCTCTGCTCTCTTCGGAATACATGCATCCAGCTTCACTTACTGCCTTCTTCCATCCCATGGGAAGTATCGGGACGCTACACTAGTGGTAGCGGAAAGCGAACCGAGCATTTTTTTAACGACCTCTCCCCCAGCACATACCGTTCGCTGCATGCATCTACGGTGTGCGGGAGGCGCATTTACCTCTGTGGACGGAGAATCATTGATTTACTCACAACGAAAGGATTTAGACTGACGGCTGCAGTTGACATCACCTTATTCCCGTGTTCCACAGACAAGCTATTAACAACTGAAGCGACACCGCCGTGAACCATCTGAAGAAGTTTCGTGTCGGCATTTTCCATAAAATATCCGTGTTTAGGTGTCGGAAATGCCACTAAGGTTGTCATTGCATACGGGAGTGTGGCTCATCCCATTTTCTCCGTAACATATCTGTCTTAGATCAGAGTTCCGTCGTCTAGTCCTGGGAGCATTTGATGGTCAACAGGTGTATGTGGCCCCGTACCAGACTGTCAGATGGAACGTAACTCCAGATCTAGTTGAAGCTGCCAAGGAGACGAAGTACGGTTGCTCAGTCTCCTGCTATCTGTCGGCTGGTGCTTGTGGTACTGAATATGTTGTGATTGCTGGCGTGGGAGGTGTACGAGAGGGGAGGGTCGAGGAGGTCGGTCAAAAGAAGAAGGGGAAAGGGCAATGCTTTGTTTATGTGACTACCGGACGTTTGGTGGTCACTTGAGGATTTGTCTGGTCGTTGTGCGCGTAGGCTGGCCGTTGAGCCGTGCTCAGGCCCATTTGCTCCGTTCTTTTCGAAATACATATGTCCAGCTTCACTTACTTCCTTATTTTACCGTGCAGGAAGTCTCGGGATGGTACACGGAATGCATTTATTTTTGGAGGAGAAGAATGTACAGGACATTGACTTCGTCCGAAGGTCAGTCCACGCCTAAAGGGGGCGGACAAATCCCAAAGTAACCGCTTGCTGTAGAGAAGTCATATAAAAAAGTACTATAGACCGAAGTAGGGGTAGAAATTTGCTTGCACCTTCACGCGCAGCCATTATAATAAACTCGCATTCATTTGAAAGTTGCCCACTTGTGCCTAATAATCACGTGAACCAACTTTTTCCTTTTTTAATTAATTGATAACTTATTTATGCTTCAGTCATGCGTCCTTTTGAATTTTTGCTCTACTATGGTTTTCATTTGCGATGTAGGGTATGCTTTTTCTGACACTTCATTCAGCTTCTTGAGTTCAAAATTTCTCATGCTGTTGTGCTAACGACTGTTGAAACCTTGACTTTAGTGCCCCAAACCACCGCGGCGGAGGGTGTGGCTCTGAAATTCATTGGATGACAATGGAGAACAGTCCAAAACTTCAAATTTATATGCTGAGTATGATGGACCGAAATAAGATACTTTGTTTATGTGACCACCTGTATGACTGGCGCTAACTTTGGTATTGACCTTGCTCTTGTACGAGTGGGCTGGTCTTTGGACCAAATTAAAGTCCAATCCCCTTTTCCCCCTTAAGACCACATGTATTCGTGTATTCTTCCTGCTGGTAGGAAGTCTTGAGGTACTACATGACAAATTCTCAAATTGATTGCTATTATTCAGTACAGTTTTTATTTTAGCGTTCTGCTTGGTCTACGTGATCGGTGCAATAATGCTATCGCGGGGTTGTTGCAGTACTTTGAACGTGTTACATGATTTGCTAGATTTCGAATCAATGTGGAAGTTTAGGCACTTGTTTTCATCCTTTTGGATTGGTAACATCATATTACACGAATAGCAGTTGTAAATAATGATTTCATTCAATACGGCCATACGCACTTCTTAAGGCAGCACTTTCCTGCCCTTTATATCTTCCTGAATAGTTCGATGGATCATATTCCAACCTATTGTAAGAATTTTTAAAAAAACATAAACACATAAACATATCTGAATGGGTGTTAATGACTGTCCTTGACTAAATGAGCAACTATGGGCATTTAAGGATTAAGTACTGAATACGTCTTAATTTAAATAAATAAAATGTAAGTTGGGAAAGGATTTTCAAGTAGGGTGCTACTTAACAAGAACTGTTTTAAAGGCTTGGAACCTCAATGCGCCATAAGGTACGAAGGAGAATCAATTAAAATAAGTAACCCTAACAATCAACCTGCTTAATCATATGAAATTAACCCCCTTAGACAGGTGATTACTAGCTGCTCTCAGGATATCGTTCGATGTTATAACCATTAATATTCATAGAAATATGCTGAGCACGGGTGAAACACAAGTTTGAATTCGTGTCGTATTAAAATTAGTTGTACGAAGAGTAGAAATGCATTTAGATAATTGTGCCATCATCGCACAATAAGTGGTTAACTGCTCCTCCTAAAGGTGTCTATGAAGGCAGTATTGGAACGGACACTCAGGTGCAGTGACAATAAGTTACATACCGATTAAATATTCTTGAATGAAAAATTATCCATTGTTTAATGGCTTAAGAGGAATATCTGCTCAATCTAAAATTACCCATTTATAAAACTCCAGCCTTTTGAAAATTAGTTCATTCCTTTATTTTGTAATCTGATACTTCAACCAACGGCGTGTATTCTTTCTGAAACATAATGAAACGCCATTAATTTATATTGATGAAGAAACGATCTGCATAAATGGTAGGACACCTTACTTCCCATATGCGTAGACCGAATTTCAAGCTAAATTTTCGCACTAACTGTTCCTACGTGTTGGTAATAGTTGGCAAATTGTAGCACCTAGAGTGTTCTATCAGCCCCTCTCAAGTATGTGGAAATGCTGACAGCATAACAAGAGAATGTTGTTTTGTGGATGAGGCCAAAGCTGTCCTTCCGTCGTCATTTTTAGCCAACCGAGGATGGACATTGCAAAGATGGCCAATCGGATGGTTGTGCGTAATGGAATGGCAACGGAGGTGACAGCGCCCTCATTGGTTGTCTCATCCATCTCGACTAAGCCTCGTATAGATTGCCCGCAAATATTCACTTATTTGCAGACAAAATCCAACAGCTAAAATCGGATGCAAAGTATTCGAACGTAAGTTGACTGTGTTTTGACTAAGGAAATGAATGCAAATAACAAGTTTCAAGCATTATAATTAATTTCCTTGTAATAACAATCCGAAAATTTTCTTAACGTAAAGTGTCGCTTTTTAGGGAACAACTCTATGCTCGATCAAAGAGTATTCCTAATTTTATAACACAACGGAAATTCGCCAGCAAATGGGGTCGTTGCATGGATGCAAAATCCAGTAATAATGAACTCGGGATCACCCATGACGACTTCAACATGAATGCTTCAAAGTCGAGCCCTAGAAGTCATGTAAATTTTTTTAGTATTTCACTCCCCTTAACTGCATTTAATGTGGTACAGTTGCGGATTCACCTTTTATTAAATCCATATCTTTTTGCATGAAGAACTGAGGTTTGACTAAGAAACTTAATGCTTTTAAGCGGAAACCATGCTTGGGTAACTGATCGCAGAACTCTTGGATTCCAATTTCACTAATACGTCCGAATTAACCTCATTTTGATGTGACTTAGAATGAGTGTAATTTCCAGAGCTCATGTCTTGACGCAATTGCTATTCAGTGGAATGATGATACTAGCTTGACCCTCCAAAGTCCCCTTAATTTGTACAGAATCGTAAACTCAACATTATCTCACTTAGTTTATGAGGTTATCCTTTTTATAACTATTTTTTATTTATCATTTTGTACCTGCCATTCTTTCCTCCCCGTTACTCAGTCCTGGCTTACGCTTCGGCGTCTACGTTGGAAACTCCGAAAATACTTTCCCAAAGCAGTTTTCGATAGCGGAGGTGAATCGCCAGATCCCGACCGCATTCTGCAAAGCCACATTGAACGAATATCCCACTTTTGGGATTCATATGATGAACCCCTCCTTTATGCAAGGAATCGAATGGGACAAAAGGACGAACAGGGTTTCGTTCTGCTTACTGAGGACGATTGTACTGCGAATGGAGGTGAGCAGAATCGGGCTCAGATGACTTCTACCCCCAAAAACTTAGAACTTGTCAATGTTTCGCCTACTCTTCCGCCGTTTGTCAACAGGTAAAATGAGGGCTCGCATCCAAAAGCATCGAGTCGTGGAAGCAAGTTCTATAAAGTAGAGTAAGAACAAACTGGTGAAACTCAACTAAATTTTCTTAATATCACTCACACAGCACTGATAATTGAGGAAATCATAGAAAAAAGTTTTGTTGAATAAAATTTGAAACAGGCGTTTTTCATATTATTGCATCGTAGATCGGTCTCTGTAAATCTCATTGCCTTAAAGTGTTGTACAGAAAGGACAAAATCTTAATCAATCACAAAAATTCAAAGCATTAATGTGTTTAGGTTCTACTTGTGCGGAAATTCTGTAATGCCAGCAGCTCTGTATAGTAAGGAAAAGGTGAAAGTATTCAAAATGATCCTCATCAAGCAAAAGACCTTTGTCCTCTATGATAATCAAAAGGCATTTAAGAGCCCATTTTTAATGCTGAGCGGAGTGGTGTGCGGACCAAACTGTTGAAAGTGACAAAACAACAAGCAAGTTTTCGTTGGCTGCCTGTTTCATAGGTAGTAAAGGCCTGTACCAGGTTCACATCGTGCAAAATTATCAAAGTTTCCAAAGTTTAATCGAACACGACATTCTAAAAGCCTACGATTGCACAAAGTCCATTTGCGTCGTTTTTTCACTTCGAATGAAAGGTCAGCTGATATAGACATAAATATAAATAAATAAACAAATAAATATATATCAACTTCCACAAAACCCATATCTTCAACTTCGAAGATTGTCAACGACAGCAAGTTTGGTCTTTGCAATTAATTGCCACGCTAAGAGGAGCACGTCAGTTCAACATAAATAATCAAGTCTTGAAGAGAAGGCATTTGAACAATAACGAATAGCCCCAAATCACTGTCCATGTGATTCCTCACACAATAGGACGAGCCTCACTGCTCTGACGTTAGGATCCAAGACGAGTTCATTAATCAACAATTAACTCCTGTCGAGAGAATCCAAGTTCTCTTGAATGCACACGTAAGCACTGCGGCTGCTGAGGCAGAGGAGTGTCCCAATGCGCTGCGAAGATACATGCAAATTTAAGTCTGGGAAAATTAACTAAAACCTTTATGAATCATCATAATTTGAAAGTAAAATCGAGCTAAAGGAGAGGCGATAACAAATGGCAACAAAAATAACACACTGTGGTTGGATTTTTATGGTTTTACATTTGTCTAAAGGTAAGATTTAAGGTAAAGTTGTAATAAAAATTATGGATTTCGTCAAGTGTGCAAAAATAATAGCACTGTGGGGCATAAAAGTCTACAAATTCTTGTTTACCAACATGTATACATGCAACTCATAAAAGAGATTAAATCGCACCGTGAAAATACGCATTTTGTAAGGAAGTTGAGCAGATCCAAATTGCCAAAACCATCTTTACATTGCTCGGTAATCCATCAGCAAGGCTACTTTTGTTTTGCCAATGACTTGGTATGTTTACTTGCTCACGTGCCCAACGACAAATTTCCTGCTTTATTGCACTCCGGATGCCTCGATGTTTGAGTCACACGACCGTCTTCAGGATATGGTTGGGAGGAGACAGGTTTCTCTGAGTGGTTTAGCGAGTCAATTTACCTTCTGTGGACAAAAGGCGCTGTTCATCACATCAAAAAATTGCTGATAGACTTAAGCAGATGAGAAGTCTACCTCTTCGCTCGCATACATTACCACTGCCTTATTCCTTTCCCGTTCCGGACAAATGTTTGATAAGAGCGAAACTGTGTCTTAAAGTGAGATTATTAGGAAATCACTTTAACCTCATAATACGCATAGTTTAACGAAACCGTTGCTCTTCTTTAACCTTTAAATGCAAGTTTAATAGCAAAATTATGTTTAAAACATAGATATCATACCAGTGGGAGTCTCAACAAGGGGGATGGTTAAATTAAGTTATATCGGTCCAAAAACTTCACTAATTGAGCTTGGAATTTTACCTCTATCCATCCATGCGTTCAATTTTGCATCAAGCACTCAGAAATGTCAGAGTTAGTGCTCCGGGAGTTAGATTCATTCCATATCATTGGAGCAGCTAAAGCAGGAAAGAATGCAACAGCATTTCCGGTCATGATGGGCTTCCCCCTACTTCCGACTACCACCAGGCATCATAAATTATCACACGCGTACATCAGCCTCCGTCAGTGGACCACAAACATTTTTTTAAACTAAACGCCTACTCTGAAAAAGTCACACCTTAATGGTAATTATGGCAACCAACTGTTGAGCTACTCTTTGGTGAGGAGCGCATTTCTTCCCTCCCACAATCTTGTTTACATCCACGCACATTTCTTACTTCTAGAAATTCGACAAAAAAATTCAAGAGGGCAAGAAAATTCTATTTTAGACTTCCCAACGAGTAAGATGTGTAGGCTCAAAATGCGATTGACACCACCTTTGATAGAACGATTGAGCAACGTATGCAATGAAATGTTTTTGTTCTTGGCTATCTTGCTCATTTGATTGCCAAATCATTATTCCTTGCACATGTTTACTTCTTTATAAAAAGTTGCTGGTGTTTGTGCACGCCAACACCCTCCGCGTGGGCGCTGAAGTGCCTCCCTCCTCATTTCTAGTTGTGCTATGCCTATTCAACCATTGACTCCACACGTCTTTGCTTCAACTTGTACATACATTTTCCAACGGGATTTGATCAGCAGCCTTCTTTAAATACTCACTTTTACAAGTGGTAGGCATCAGACTTCAGCATAGTACGATAAATCTTTTTGGATGACAGCAAGTAATTTTGAAGAACGGACCTGTCAGATTTTAAAAGCGAAAATGCGCAATGTCGGTGGTGTAATTAGAATAGGCAATCTATCCTAATTTGTGATTCCTTATTAGCAACTGGTCATTTCATCATGTCACTTATCCGGCTAATGAACGTGGAATGAAATGACAGTCGCTTTGGTAACTGGATGCCATCGCACTTATTATGAGAAACGGTTTTGATGAAAGGTTGGAAAAAAATTCCCGTAGGGCAACCACTATAATGAACAAGCAGTTAGAATCCATCGCTTATTAAAAGGGTGGAAACTTGCCCAACTAGTCTTCTTAAATCGCACACAGCCATTTTGCACTGATAATGAGTAAAGAAATTTGCACACATCGGATTTGGGTGCTTTGAATCGCCAGTTTAGGCATATAAAGATACACTCGATCCTTCTGTCATGGAAACATTCTGTTAGACTCCAATGCTCTCCCACAAATCGTAGGGTGGATGTACTCGACCTTTTGGACACGTCATCTCAGCCACGAGCATAGGCATGACTGGACTGCGGCTTTGGCTGCGTGCTTTTGATTGACACATCACATAGTGGAAAAGCACAGGAGCGTCCTTCATCTATGCCCCGTGAAAAATAACAAAACGACAAGGCCATGGTTGGTGGCTTTGTGATAAACATGCATCTTGAAGTAGCCTTTTGAATTGGCGGTGTCCACAGAAACTTGTTCTAAAATCTTCTAAGTTGTTATCACGCATGCCATTTATTAATGGCCAGAGAGGAGGCGATTCGCTTCCCCAACACTTATTACATTAGAGGAGGCAATTGTTCCGATAATGCAACGTGTCTCGTAAATCCAAATACTTTTAAGATTACTCACGACAATAAGCCTCCAAGCACACAACATGATCTCATCGGAAGTAGAAATGCAGATCCTTACATACCTCCTATAGCTTTGTCATCGCCAGCTTTAACTGACTTGCTTGCATCAGTCAGTAGACAGCGAAGATTTGATTCATGATCTTAACATGTTGAAGCTGAAAATAAACCTTGAGCACCTACATTAATGTTTCAATTAAAAAAACTTTACGTAAGTAATTTTGAATGCGATACTGGTCTATGAGAATGTTTTATGAGGAGGCTCATTTGTTTATTTCACAAAGTCGTCAGACACTATTAAAAATACTCCCTGCCGGAGAACATTTTAATGCGAGAGCCCATTTTGTACTGGCGTTACGTTAACTCAGCACAAGTAAGCGACAACTCATCCTCACTTGATTGATGTTCAAAAAAATTTCCTGATAAAGATTGCCACAAGTGTGGGCGTTTCTAAATTAATTGTTTTCGTTTCTATTGGCAAGCACCAGACATCTCTCTTGGATTGGTAGCCGAGGGAAACTCCACCACCTCATAAATGCACTCGTATTTCCCGCGCGAGAGTAACTTTTTCCTTAAGATCTGCAACCACTCAAATTTTGCTACTTTACTCTCTCATGGGTGTGTAAGCCCACCCAGCAGACCTGACCCACCACAGTTGGGAGGCTCATTTGCCTTAGCACGGGGAGGAGTGCGAGCACACAGTGACAGGGAGGGAAGAGAAGAAATGCAAACACTGCAGCACGTGTAAATTATGCATTAGGGAGGAAAACAGTCGAGGGAGTAAACGAACGAACAAACGAGCCAAAAGGGGGTGAGAGGGAGTAGATGGGTGACTGAAAACTGAGGTTTGTTGTGAGCATGGGACAGGAAGGAAGGGAAAGAGGATTGAGTGATTATCGTCTTGGCAGCTGTCGAAAATGCATTCCCCCTTTGGAGTGATGAGATGGGGATGGACTATTAAGCGTTTACCAACAAACACGCCATCTCTTGCCAATTTTAGGTCCTGGTTTTATCTTCATTTTCAAGAGATGTCCAGAATAAGAGAATTGTGCTTTGCAATTTTGGTTTTCATGTTCCTTTTTACAACAGCCTGATTGGGATGGATTAAAGTAGTAAACCTCACAGTCAGCGGGCAGAGAACCTTCAGAACGACGCAACTAATAATTAATTGTTGTTAAAAGGAACTCTTAGATGTAGTTATTTGCAGTAAAGCAAATTTATCGCCCAAAAATAATCACAGTTGCTCCAATTTTAAGGCCACAATTTAAACTTTTGCAGTTGTGTAATTTTCTCAGTAAATCAGCGACTTAATCGTCAGACTATGGACTGTTGTTTGTTCCCGGAACAGTCTTATTCTCCATTTTTAGGCTATCCATACTGACGTCCCTATTTGTCGAAAAGCGTTTAAACTCAGTACTGGCTGGACATGATTACGACATTGCATAGAAGCAGGTTATGAAATCGGAGCTGCATGTTGGCGAACTGAGAGATTGAAGATTTGCAAGCTGTCCGCGCTAAAGTGTCAATCATGATGGGAGCGTCGAAGAAGGAGGTCGGAGTCCACGTAGAAATGTGATTTTGAGGGAACTTTTATCAAGATTGCCCTCGATGCTGTCAATCAGGAATGAATTTGAAATGAGACGAGAAGGCAGTAAACCATTTCGTTCATCTGCCCCCTCGGTTACCTAAGGTTAACATCGTAAATATTTGATGTAAAGGAGGAAAACGCTGTACCTTCATCCCTGCTCCCCTTCCTTCCATTTTGGACCAGAACACCTTTCGCGAATTTTGCCGCTTAGCTAGTTGTGCCACGGCTGTCCACACCAACTCGACAAGACCAATTTCAAGCCTCTTTGAGACGATAGTGTTGGATACGGATTCAGAAAATAACTGCCCGACTGAGATTGCTGACACACAAGGGTGCCTTGACTTTCGCCCTTTTTCTTGGAAAGTGCAGAGAAGAACCAAGATTGCATAGCAAAGTCTCCCCTTCGTCTTTGATGTCTTGCGATGAGGAAGCCTAGACTGTTAGGCACGCACATAATTCGAGGTTAATAACATTCGAGACTTGTCATTGAAGGATGCCAGCTGCTGATTTCTGGTTCGAAAGGCTAGGGCATATGAATAACATCCTACTTGGCATAAAAAATCATTCACTAGTGAGTTTCCAACGGGAGTCGACATACTCACTAAAAAGAGACGCATATCTACCCCCCAGGTTGACAACAATTGGTAGTAACTATCTATAGGCGCTATTTCGAGTTCCATCATACAAAATGTCAAACCCTCTGCATTTCACAAATGCGTCAAACACAGGTGTTTAGTTAACACTATTTTGTCGCTGGTCTCCCTCCCTAAATTCGTTCAAATTATCTGCTTTCTTGCTCTGCTATTTAATTTCAACCGATTTTCCACATTCAAAATCACAGTTCTCGTATGGTCTCTCATTCGTTTTGGTTAACTTCAAAAATTAGTCGAAAAAAAGGAGAAACGAGGTGTTTACGTGGTCGGGGTCGAATGCGTTCCACAGTGCCTCACTTGATCTTGAAAACAGTTTGTCCTGACTTGTAGACGCAGTACCTAGGACGGCACCTCCGTTTTGCACTTATTGTGGACCTTAGATGGCAGTAATTTTAAATGCTGGGCAGGCCAAATATGTGGAACGAGAAATCCCCCGTCTGTATACGCGCTGGAGTTAGTGTAAAGTATGTCTAATGCGACTCATTCGACGCCAATAGGCAAAGTCAACATGTACTTGTAGCATATTTATTAAAACCATTAAAACTTTGTTCGCTGCATTCCTTCGTGTCACGCCTTTATTCAAGAGGCGGAACGTCCAGATTGTCAATAAAGTTGGGACTGTTTTCCCTCTCCTTACGAAGACTGACCGGCGTCCTCTTTTCCATTTGCAAATTACTCGGACGACGGTCTCCAGCGTTTGTGATGTTTCGCCAGTCCACCGAGACCTTAGCTTCCCCTACTGTCAGGAAATTGGAAACGTTCCCCTTCCTCCTTCTGTAGCAAAAGGAAATAAAGGAGTGAAAACAAAGTCCTTCTAGTGGTAAAATTTTCTCAGACTTGGATCTCCAAGGCCACAGTTCGTCAAGTTTACATCTGCCCTTGTTGATATCCACTTCTGCTTGCAAAACTACCACTGAAGCCATTCATAACCACGATTCTTGTACAATGAACGCAACACAACAATGTCACCGCAGAAAATCTGTTCAATGAAATAAGTCATAAGCAATTTCAAATTTATCCCATTTTAAGGGAAAGGAGAGTAAGATTCTTATCAACAGTCAGCTGCAGAAGGATGCTTAGCCTTTAATATCATCCTCTCGCCCTAAACTATTTCAAATTCTCCTTGATTAGCACATTCTGTTCTATAATTAAGTTTATGTTTAACTTGTTTCTTTTTTTAATTAATAGTCGTAAAAACTTAATCTGAACTCCAAAGAAACGTAGGCAAGAGCTTACTCTTTGGCTTCTGTCGTCTCTGTACACTCGTTGGTGCGTTTCCACTCTTCATTTCGGAGTTCAATCATTGAAGAAGACTGTGAAAATTATTGTATTGTATTCACAAACAAAATGAAAAGAGGTCTGCTGAAACAAACTAATGGAGTTCATCTCTTCCTGAATGTCAGTTTATTTGGACGCCTATGGAGAGTAGACATTAAATTCGATCTAAGGGTAAGTAATGCAAGATGGGACTACAAAGACTGCCTACGATGACTTTGGGCATCCGAACGAGCAGTCGACCAGTCACACGAGAACGCTGGACTGAAGATCTGTCCGGATGGACCTCTTCAGGTAGAGCCATTTGGAACACCTAAGAGGTAATCATTCGTAACAGTCTGCTCTAAATTGACAATCGCTAATGCTCCTCATTAAGGGAACGCATTAAATCCTGAGCTTGTTGACCACTAAGCTGAGATGCCTTTATTCTAACAGATGAACTTTAGCCTGCTGAAATATCGCAACTCACCTTATTTCGAAGTGTAACTCGAACGTAGTTTGTCTGCACATCACAGTCAATTAGGCTAGTATCCATGTTCCTGAAAGGATACGATTACAATGTTCTATAACACTACAATTAATTGTAATTGTCAGTTGCACAGTTCTTTTAATCAAGAATTGTTCCGTGAAGTACAAGACTGGTCAGTTTGTATTAAAAGCGCTTTCTTTAATAAGCAATGCATTTGACTCAAAGCATCGTCGTTTAAAGGAACAAAACGCAAAAGAATGCTCGATCTTCTTCATCCACTCCCTCAAAGAGCTTAAGGAAACGGACATCCCTTCGAATTATCAGAGCTGACTTGTATTGCACGACGCAATACGCTGATAAAGCTGAAGCATCTAAACCAGCTTGAAAATCGTGTCTTTCTCCGATCTTTCTTCATAATTGTCTACTTCGTTCTAAACAACAAGATATATGAAGTGCACGCAAGATGTTGTCAAACTCCTAATGTCTAAATAAGCAGATGCCTTCCATTGATTTGGCTCCGAGGCCACACTTGAGGCTCAAGATCTACAATGTTCGCTTGTAAAAGCACACACAAGTGTAAAGCATCATTGCTAATATCAGTCCCTCTTATTGAGTTGACCATGTGCAATTCACGATAGCAATAAAATTTACATCAAAATAATCAGTTGCGCTTACTTCGCGGGGGGACAACAGGGAAACTCACTTGTATGTAGCAATGTCTAACGCGAAACATTGCTCTCCCTCTTTTAGTTCTTCGTAAAATTTAAATTCAACCCTGAAAAACGGTAATCACACATGGAAAGCATAACAGGCATGGAAACGAGCTAGATGCCAGTGGGTGGAGCCCATCCCACGCCACCCAACCGATGCAAATCACTTGTTCTTCCTTCTGAGCTCGGTTCATGTACTTTTTTTAAAAACTATTCCACATCCTCCTTAGAACAGAAAAGCTACCAGAGAATAGTTCAGACTGTTAAAGCAGTGGTAGTTGGTTGTTATTAGTTTAACATATTAAGCTGCCTCTGAAACCGCGTGGGACATTAGCTGAACTCTTTGGCTTGAAGTGATTGCGTTAAAAACCAATTTACACCTTTTACATCGTATTTTCGGCAACTAAGTTTAAATACACAGAAACGCAGCCCAAGAAAAGTACTTGCTTTGGTTCATTTATGTTGTAAGGACGACCATCTTCAGCGAAGAATACTTTTCGTCTTGGCTCATTCTTCCTTCAAAATACGAAAAATACATTCCATTCTGTTCTTTGATAATATGCTATGCTTGGCAGGACCACAATCAATCATGCACGCATTCTGTAACACAAAATGATTTCACCTACAGCCACATACATCCAAACCTGATTTCGGATGATTGTGCCTGTATGCCATTAAATAGCACTGGACAAAACATAGCAAACATACTCAAAAGGAGAGCTTTGTTTTGATTCTTGCTCCTTCTGTAAGCGAAGAAACTCGTATGTTTCAATCCTTGATTCTGGTGTATAAGGGCCCTTCTCTTGCCAAAATTCTTCTGCTATCTTTCCTATGTCACTGAATGTAACAAACAACTAGAACTACTACCCTTTAATCAAACAAATATTTGGGTGGCGTAAAACACGCAGTTTTTTTACAGACCACGTGTCCCGAGTCTCTGTTGCTCAATGCCATGAATACTAGAGCAAACATACAAAAATATGAGATATTTTCGATTAAGAAATGAAAAATTGTTCAGCTTTGGTGCTCATTGAGTGCAACAGTTGTAAGAATCATACAAATATAGAAAAGGCCGGAATGGCATGCGGGTGTGAACACACAGTGAGTATTAGTCGATAAATGTGATGTGTTTATGTATTAACAAAGTAGGCATGGGGAATGCGACACATTAATATTTCAAATATCAGTGCGTTACCCATTATTTTCTTCCAACTTTTTCAGAAGTGTTTCTCTCCGTCCCTGCGCCTGAGCTCTCTCAATGGCCTGGACATGAGCAAGCAAAAGTCTGCATACCCTTTTGCAGAAGTATTCTTTCTGTGAGTTTAATATAGTTTTGTAGTGCCTTGAAAGGTTTTGGAAAGCAATAATGCGTTCAGATTTTCCGACTTCTTCTCCATCTAGTACCTTCGACAATTGGGGAAAATTCGAGCTACTTTCAATTGAGGCAAAGTAGCAATCACATATTCCCTGTACCCATTATATTCAGTGCACGGATTACCTATTAAATAACTTTGAACATGAGTAAATGCAGCTTGAGGTACAGCTCTTCAAGGGATTCCAAATTAATTAGGTTATCTACGCTGGTCAGGTCACCAATGAAATTTACAGTAAGCTCCAGTTTTCTTAGAGATTCACAGCCTATGGATAACACTAAAGACACGCATGTACCTTCTAGGTTCTCGATGGTTTCAATGTTATTTAGAGCTAAATTGAGGTATTCAAGTTCCTTTAAACGATTAACATTTTCAGCGGAAAACAATGAGACAAAGAGGATCATACCAATTTTCGAAATGAGATTATTTTGCAGATACAAAATCCTCAGATTTTTACAGTTATTATTTAAAAATTCAATTCTAGCAGGTGAAAAGATGTCCAAAATACTTTTCGATATTTTGTTGATGAAGAGCTAATTCTTCCAGAGTGCATATTTCACCCTCATTGTGTTCTGCTCGTCTGCGGACCAACTCCTCAGTAACTGTTACCAAAAATGCGACATCTACCACTTACTCCGAACCATCACTAATTGATATCAGCCCAAATATGTTTTCCCACATTCCTAGACGCGGAAATCAGACGCTATAGTGGATCGAATAAACAAATGCATCTTAGAAGCATTATTTGTCGCACTGCAAATGCTAATAACAATTCTGCACTCACTTTAAAAATATGTGAGTTTAAGGATGTAGCCACGTTTTGAGTGCAATTTTAACATTTGTGTATTGCGCATTAATTCAATTTTTGTTAGATTTCATACTTCGCCAATAGGCGAGGTTGATGTACTCCTTACTGTGATGCTACAAGCTTTTTTACCTTAAATCTATTATTTTACCCCAAATCTCGCCTTCAGTCTTCTTGTCTGCTTTTTAAAAGCTTACAATGCCTTTGATAGGGAGTAAAACAACGCACACGTAGATGGCATAACATTTATCAGAATATCTCTATTTACATTGTAGTGGAGCTGACTACATGTATATCGGGGAGAACAAAGGGGTTGGGCCTGAGCCTGAACCGAATCTTAAAGTTGAAACCAAATATCAGGTGGCCAAATAAACAAAGTATTCCACTGCCATTCGCCATTCGGGCTACGTCCTTAACGCTTCCCTCGTACACTTCCCGCGTCAGCCATCACAGCATATTCGGTACTACAAGAAAGCACCCAAGAGCCAGCTGCGAAAGTCAACAGCTGCCATGAGACTGAGAAACGGCACTTGGTTCCCTTAGTAGCATCAATTAAGTTCGCGCCGCGTGCATCCAGTGTTCATCAATGGTTCCCAGGACTAGACAGATGTGTTACAGGGGAAACGGGATGAACCACTGTCCCGTATGCGAGAACAACGTAGTATCATTTCCGATACCTAAATAGGGATTTTTTATAGGGAATTCCGACACGAAACTTCTCCACATGATTCATGGTGGTGTCGCTTCACTTGTTAATACTTTGCCTGTGGAACACGGGAATAAGATGAAGCCAAATGCAGATGTCAGTCTCAACCCTTTCTTTGTAAAGAAATCAGAGATTCTTTCGTCCCTAATGCGAACGTGCCTCCTCCACAATGTAGGAATCTAACACAAAGGAAAGGACACTAGGAGAGGGGTCGCTAAAAATCTGCTCGGCTCGCTTTTCGGAGCCACCAGTGTGGCGTGGTAAGACTTTCCACGGGGTAGAAGAAGACTTTGAATAAAGAAAGGGCCTGAGCTTGACCCGAACGTCAGCCTACACGTACAAGGGTCAGTCGAATCTTAAAGTAATCGTCAGATATTAGGTGGTCATTTGAACGGAGTATTACCTAAGAGTAATGTATAAGTGGGAATTTGGCATGGACCAAAGGCCGATTACTAGACTAATGCCTAATAATTACCAAATGGATTCCATCTCATTTAGGCAGTTAATTAAACAAGGTGTTACATTGCCCTTCTCTTATTATAGGTGACATTTTTCCTGCTCCCCTCTCCCACGATGCATCTCACGCACCAGCGATCACAACGCATTCGGTGCCGTCCAAAAGCACCCACAACCCAGCAGCGCCAGTCATCAACTCCAATGTGTCTGAGGGAATGCTCTTGATCCTCTCAACATTTTTAGTTGGTTGGAAACCGGAATCAGAGGCAAGAAGTGCTTTTGGTCAGCGTGTGTATCTGGGAACAGACGTTGTAACAAAGGTACAAAACAGATTTTGACAATGAAATTCAGGACCTTACTCAGTCGACTGTGGACAAGCATCGTGCAATCGCATATTTTTAAAACTGATTCTCGGTTGATCCAATGAATAACATTGTTTCATCTGTGAATAATCTACTAGGTGAGCAAAATCGGAGATAAATACCTAACACAGAACTCGTTTTCGGCCTTTCAAGTGTAGAGGAATAAAAGGATTCCCTAGTCGAAGTGAACGCAATTTGTTTGTCCCAAACAGTAGAAACAAGGTAAGACATTGCAACAAATTCGGGTCAGCTTTATGCGTTTCGAGATCCCCTATTAAACATCAAAAGGAATGCAAAAAACTGAAAACTTGTACACAGAGAAGGAGAAGGGGCAGAATGTTCGAATGGCTCGAAGTTCAGCCCACTTGGCAAAAGATTAATGGCCGCCAAAGTGACTGCGGCTCATACAGGCAGTCATTTGAACAAAGCATTACACCCAGTATAATACAAGAAGGAAATTGATATAGTTTGTCATGGTTGACTACTTCGCGAAAGTGGCCAAGGCAGAGCTGACATTGTCCCAAAGAGCCGAGATGATAAAAATGTGTTAGTATATATTGCTCAAAGCCGATTTTGCCCCAACTTTTGCAAGTTCCTGAGGAACAGTATTCCAATGTCGGCTCCCAGACACACACGCTGACCAAAAGCACTTCTTGCCTCTGATTCCTGGTTCCAACCAACCAAAAATGTTGAGAGGGTCAAGAGCATTCCCTCAGACACATTGGAGTTGATGACTGGCGCTGGTGCGTGAGATGCACCATTGGAGAGGGGAGCAGGAAAAATGTCACCTATAAGAAGAGGGAGACAATGCTGCAATACGTACAAGTTGTTTTTAATCACTCTTGTAGGTCAAAGGCAGGGTGTAAAAGTAAACGTTATGTTTAGCTACTTAAGCGCTTTTTGGGTCCAATCGCTCCCCCGCTTTCAAATTGTCGTCTTTTATCTCTTGAATTATGTCAAGGAGGTACTTGGGCGATGGCGATTTTGGAGCTGCAAACGTTATTTTGATGACTTGGTTACGTGATTACCTGCATGGCATTCCAACACTTTGGGACTTGTCTTGATCTTGCACGGGTAGGCTGACCTAGCCAAGCCAGAGCCTAATCTATTTTCCACCCCTTTGAATGCACTTATCCAACTCCATTTAATGTCTTCTTTTACCTGATGGGTAGACTCAGGTGTCTAAGTTAACTATAATACATACTTCTATGTATAGATTGTTTTTATAGGGGCGAAACGGTTGGTGAAATCGCGTGAGGAACGCGAAGACACATCCACAGAGTTAAGACAAATCGTCGTCTTATCGATGTACACATTTCTTTCAGTTATGTACAGGATGCCTGACACACCATTCTCAACCAATTCTCTTGCGGAACCAGAGGTTCAGGAGCCTGAGCGTAGGCTGAGAGGGCCTAAAGAAATGCCTATTTTATTAAACTGTCTAACTGAGAGGCGGTCGATTCGGTGATTATCAGAACTTTGACTAATTTGCCGGTCTTCTGTCCTTGTCTGTAATGCTTTGCTTATGTTACTATCTGACGTTCGGCGGTGACATTAGGATTTGTCTGGTCCTCGTACTCGTGGGATGGACTTCGGGCCACGCCCAGGCCCATTAGCTCTGTTCTCTTCGCAACACATGTATCCAGCTTCACTTACTGCTTTATTCTACCAAGTGGGAGGTCTCTAGGCACTACAGTGCCAACGCCAGATTTGTACACTTCAAAATACAGGCCCTTGGCAAAATTATGCATCCTTCATTGCTAGACGCAGTCATGGAAGTCTTCGATATCTGCACAGCAGGATGGGGGAAGAGGGAAGTTCCCTAACTTCTGGTAGTTATTCGTTTTATATCAACTTTTAACCGATAATTTTTGGATTCCGCGGTTGCTTGAGGGTTTGTGTCATATTTATTTTATACTCGATTGTTGTAACGAATCATAATAACTATGTACTATAAAAGTTTTTGTGAATTGCAGTTGCTTTATTAGTGCTAAATAAATAATATTTATTCGTTAGGCTTTTTAATGATTTTTAGTTTACGGAATAAATTCCTTCAAAACCAGTCTAAACTGGTTGTTTATATTACCTCAAATAAATTATCTCACGTGGGGCTCCATTACTGCATTGTGCGTGCCATGGTCATGGTGAGTCCTATGATTATCTTGTGTGCCGGGCGTTCGCTTGTCGTAAGGTGCCGTTTATGCGCTGTTTGTGTATCTTTATTTTTGTGGAATCGTGTATGTGGTGTTTGAGTGTGCGCTCATTCGAATTTGTTTTCCTTTTAGACTCAAAAGAAGAACCGAAGTGAGTGTCTTTATTAATAATGTTTGTGAGGTTTATCGTCATTGTTTGATATTTTGTAATTGCCTAACAACACGTTTTTTCTAGACTCTAATGTACAATCCGGAAAAGCGAATGGGCCTTCTCCAACGAAAAGCCTTGGGAAGAAGCGACCGCGAGAAGAAAGTGTAGATAATGATGAAATCGAAGACAAGTCTGATGCCGTTCAAGTTAAGAAGCTCAAACAAATGGTTGCTGACGATGTGGAGGATTCTGAGAGCACGGATGTTGATGTTGAAGAGGAAAGCGAAGGTGACTCTGAGGATGAGAGCTATGAATTTGGAGGTGAAGAAGACTCCGATCATGACGGAGACAGTGATGATGAATCTCCTGAGAAGGTAGTCAAATTGCCGAACTCTCAGAAGGCACATCAGCAGCATCAAGCGTCTGCCAAGCCTAATCAGAGCAAGTCGAAGATTATTTCCAAGGTTCCGGAGCAGAAAATGGGAGTCCAGGAGCGTACCAAGGTGTCGGCGTCCAATGTTCTCCTTTTTAACATTCCCAGGCTAAGCGAGAATGAATTACAAGGTTTTCTCGCAAAGCGCAATGTTAGCCCAGAGCAGGTGTCCTGCATAAATTCTCCTGTTGCCCTTCTGGGGTTCGCAAATGAAGCAGCCGCGGCGAAGGCGATTTCAGTGTGTTCCGGAGCAGCCTATGGCCAAAGTTCTCTTGCTGCTGTGTCGATCACGGGTGGGGACATCGAGTTGATTCGTTCAAGTAAGAATCCTCATCCGGGTAGGTCTGATGCTCCTCTCACGTGTGTGTTTGTAACTTCCCTCCCGAAGTTTGTAACGGACAAGGAGATCTTGAAGGTTATTGGTATCGAGCCAAAGCATCTGCGGCTTATCACATCGGGACGCAAAAACCAAGTCTATAATGCGTGCTACGTTGATTGTAATTCTGAAGTTGATGCGCAAAAGGCTTTCCAGGCGCTTCAAAGTCATAGATTTGGCGATACACAAGTTAAGGCGTTTTTGAAACCTCAAAGCAATTTCAATCCCGTCACTGAAACCTCACTGATTGTTGCCAATGTGCCCTTCAGTGCTGAGATTGATGATATGAAGAAGCAGTTTCCGTCGGCGAAAAAAGTTGAGCTGACTCGAAGGGGATGCTTCATGCTCAACTTCGATAGTGCAGAAGATAGAGATAAAGTTCTTAAAGAGTCGGAAGGAAAGACCATGGGAGGTCGTGTTCTACGTTTTATAAGCTCTGACAAACCTAGTGCTGATTACTCCGTTTTTGTCTCGAACATTGCTTTTGCTGTCACGGCGGATGAGTTGAGGGTCGCTTTTCCTGGGTGCAAGAATGTTTCTATGAAGAAGAGGAAGGATGGGCGGTTTAACGGGTGAGGTGTCTTTTACCTGATTTGGTCGAGACAATCGAATCCCTTCTGAACGGATTTTTGTTCTGTTTCAGTAATGCAATTGTATACTTTACGACTAAAGAGGCGGCGGAAGCTGCGGCAATGGAAGGTGCCAAGAAGGAACTCAAGGGAAGGCTTCTTAAAACGAAATTACAGGACGGATTTGGTGGTTCTTTGGGTGATAAACAGAGTAGGAACATTTTCAGAACTGGTGTTTAGTTTGTGTTCCGTTTCTTCATGGTTGTCTTTTGCCTTGCAGAGGAAGTTGAGAAACCGAAGCTTCAGGTAGAAGGTAAAAGAAAGACGCAGCTTCCTGCTCAAGTAGGGAGCGAATCTGAGGAAGAAGGTGATGGCGGGGAATCGGATGATGAGGGAAATGACGACGACAACGATGACGACGACGATGATGATGATGGTACTGAGGACGAGGACGAGGAAGAGGAGGAGGAGGAGGAGGAGAGCATTGATGTAGATGCTGATATGGTTGAGGGCGACGAGTCCGGCAGCGATGTTAAGGGGGAGGGTTCGTTGTCTAAGCGGTCAAAGCAGGAGCAAATTGCTGCCACAAAAGGTCATGGTCGTGGTGGAAGGGGTAAACCTAGCGGAGGACGTGGCGGTGGATCTGTTCATCGTGGGAATCGCGGTGGTGGGCGATTTCAAAATCGCGGCGGTCGTGGAGGAAGGGGACGTGGAGGACCTTTTAAAAAATAAACTAGTGCGAATTCATGTAAATTAAATAAATGTAATAAAGTGGCTGGCGCTACTTCTGGGTTGCGTTTTCCCCGTTGGGCTCAGTTCTTCTGGTCGTTTGGATTTTTTGCATGAGTTTAATTTTGAGCGATTGGAGGTGTGGCAGGCGGTGGATGTCAGCGTCGGTATTTTAGATGAGTAACACGCATGGCGCATCGTCGCCTGTGGGTGCGTATCATGCTGCGCCGGATTCTCGTAGTCTGTGTGTCTGCGGCTATCCGGAAGAGATGAGTGAGGCTGATCTCTACTCCTTCTTTCCCTCTGCCGTTAGCATCTCGTGTCAACGAATGGGGTGCGTATTTCCATCATAATCCTTGCTTTTACCTTTTTTCGTGATTTTATCACTCATGAGGACTAACTTTTTTGCTTTTGTACGCTGCTTGAGCAGGTTTGTGTTGTCACGCGCAGTGCCACGACGAGTGGGTTGATAACTCGTGGACCGAGCTCCCCTGCGGACACTATGTGCTCCTTGAGAGAGCGCAAACTGTTCATTGAGCGATCATGCTGTGCCTGTGTCGAGCCACTTCACCCACATGCATCGCTTGCCTCTTCCATCTCTTTATCGCTCGCACCTTGTCTCTTCAGTTCTTCATCTTGTTTGATGCAATTTCAATCGGCTGTCGATTGTCAGGCTGCTTTCGTCGAATGTCAAAATGGCAAACTTGTAGGAGGTCGAAATGTGAAGGCTCGGATTGTTCCTTCTGTTGGTTTCGGTAAGGTTACATATTAATATGCCTTACTCTCTTTTGAGTCAGCTGTTCATTTTTTAAGTAATAAAGTTCTACTTTTTCTGGGTTGTAATTTGATGGTAGTAGTGGTATTGCATCATCCTCCAGCTGGTCAATCCCGCATTGGGCGTGGTTACAGGGGCTACGGTACAAACTCTCCTAGAGATTATGGCGGTAATTACCACTGTCAAAGCTCCAATTGCACGCTGACTCTGCGCAATTTGGCCTGGTCTGTGACAGAAGGTGACCTAATTCGGGAATTCCCTCGTGCAGTCAGTGCCTCCATAAAGTTGGACGAAGGAAATCGTTCTCGAGGGTAAGTTGAGTGTTGATACGTCTGGTGACGCTATTTACTTTGAATTGACATCTTTTCTAGATGGGGAACAATGACGTTTGCCAATCCAGATGATTGCCGACATGCTGAGGCTGAGTGTTTGACAAAATCTATAAATGGAAGGCCTATACGTGCAGAAATTGGGAACTCATTCGACAGGCCTCGTGACGATGGTCACAGAGGAGGGCATGGCTGTCGACGATCTTTCTGTGGTGAGCTCGAATAACCGGTTCATTAGTTTTTTTCCTGGCACATTCCCATTGTCAGTTATGACTAGTGGTGCAAACGCCAGGCATATTGAACTGGTTCCCTAGTCTATGGTGAAACGGGGCCTCTACATTTGGACAATTGTGAACGTTTGACATAGTAACTGCCTCAATTCCTAATGAGTTACTGTTTTAGGTCGCTACAATGTTGCTGATAGCAGAAATGGAGGTAGACGCGGAGGCGGTAGTTATGGTGAAGAGGATATGCATCAGCGCCGTCGATACAGTGCTGTAGATGGGAATGAGAGGCGATTTTGTGGCGTCGACAATAGCGTTGGTGGCTTCACAAGTCACCGTCGTGGCGGTGACCTCGATCGGGATCGAAGAGATCGCAGTCCAGGCTACTGGCGTACCGGTGGTGGGGCTAGAATAACCTCGGCTGTTATTCGTCGCGCCCCTGGCGATTCATCTGACTCTGACTTCGACAATCGTGGTTAATTTCACAAAACAGATACCAGTTCCATTTTTTGGCTTTATTCATGCTTATATTCATAGTGTTTCATTAGGTCTGATTTTATTCTTTTTACTCTCTTATCCCGACGTCTAGGTATTCCCCTGCCGATGGTATGCAAATACCGTGTTATTAACAGCTACGCTGGATAATTTTTATGGTAATAATTTTGGTACAAACCCGAAACTACCTTGATTGTCCAACCCTATTGTGTTGGGCATGACATTATGGAGCGCTCTTACATGCCTGTGCTCCTTCAGATAGATTCCTTTTGGGGCTGCAATACGGAGTCGGGAATTAGTGCTCTTTTATCAATAGATTTTTCTGTCAGTGTGTCGCTGTTTTAGATGGAGATGTAATTGGTCTGGTCTAGCGTACGAAGTTAAACCAGAAGCAACTGTTTGAATCTCTAAAGGTTTGACAGGCTTAACCCAACTTGCATTAGGTTCTTGTTGTGAACTCGCGCCTTCAAGTCTGGTTATAGTGAGAATTATGTAGTCCATCGGAAACGGCATTTAGCCGTGCTACGCGTTGCTATGTCCCAACCTGGATGTTGGATTTTATGCTGTGAACACTTTTGGGTTTTTCGCGATTTAATGATGCATCTTTTTGTTTAAATCTCAAATAACTTTTGTTCGTTGACAGCCTATCATCCTTTTTCGCTCTTCGAAGATTTTAAGCGTTATTTCTTATATACTGTCGGCTTACCTCTGCAACGCAGTAACCAGGGCTCCTAAATATAAACCTTCGAATAAGGAACTCGCAGCTATGGCTCAAACGGCCATGAATACAACCGCAGTCCAAGGGATAATGATACTTCACCTCAAAACATTTCTATCGATTGCCTCTTATTGCCACCTTCAAAGTCTGCAACGGTGAAGAGAGCCTACTAGATTGTCTCGTTGGCAGGTGTTGCTGCCTCAGAAGACACTAATTGCTCCTAAGTGTCGTATCCAGTTGCGAGTTCCTTGTGAGGTAACGCCTGCCCAGATGGTTAACTTCTTATCCACGCACCATCATTAATCTTCCTGCTTAAATGCATTTTGACAAGGAAATCTAACGGATAGCTGGTGACTGCGCCTCCAATATGCTTGAAGTGTTCTTCAAAGTAAGGCTATCCAAGTTGCCTGCGTGGTACTTCACAATTGTAGAAAATAACTGCTGCCATCGGATATTAGAATTCATCAAACGCTTGCCTGGCTGTATATGTTCAGACAATGTAGAGGCTGAGGCTCTTGACGAAACTGAAGATGAAAGTGTATCATCCACGAATGGGCACTTCACCTTCGCGATATTATGCCCGTTAAGCGTTTTAAACCGAGTGTAATTCATACTACCTCAATACTTAATAGGTACAAATTGCGACGGTCCAGCGTAGTACTAGAGAGCTTGTTCACTCACGTGCCTTAATAAGCCAGCAGTTGATTTGACCCATTTGCTTTACCCAGTCCTGCCGAAAAACGGAGTTCGATTTGCATATTCAAACTGAATGGAAAAGGAAGTAGCGTGTGTAGTGTGCATATGGATGGGCTGTCGTCAATTGCTGTCTAAAGCTAAGTGGGTTATTCGCTAGGTGAATGGGGGAGGTAGTTGCAGGTCTGCGTGGATAGCTTTCCAAAAATAGATTAACAGCATGCATGGCAGGGCTTATTAGTAAGATCTTGAATCTCACTTTCACAAGTCAATGGGATATTGATCTTAAGGAGTACGAGTGACCGACACGAAATACCTGTCGAGGTATGGTCGGTTTGGTATCGGAATATCATGAATAGTTGGTGAACCTCACAAGATTGAAGTAGATGGCAGGTATCTTCATTGGAGACTTCTAGCCCATTCATAGATGAAAGACTGGGGGATCAGGTTTCTGAGTGGGGAGATCGTTTTGCACTTGCTTTTTAAAAGAGCATAATTATGTCGGTAGGAGGCTTTTAAACTGCAGACTTGAAATTGTTTAATTTGATGACGATGTAAGGGAATTTCCTAAAAGGTATGACGTCCACGACAAACAACAAAAGGATTTGTATGGCTTATTTTCCAAAACACAAGTACCTGCTAAAATAACTGCAACGGAAAACTGTTCATAGTGATAGGAAAAGTTGGGAGGTAATTCGTCCTAAACTTCAGGTAGACAAAAGGTTATTCTATTTTTCGTTCCGAATAGCCAAGATAACAATGACTAATGCTCTTTGAATGCTATTAAGGTGTTGTAGGTGGTACTTTATGATAGGCAAGGTATCATTAAATAGCAAAAGAAAGAGGAGAGAACCCCGAAGCGTTGCAGGGTGTGGGATAAACAGTGGAGAACCTTTTAGCTTAAAAAAAAGAATTCTTATAAGTTGCAGGAGGAGAGGTTTCCCCCGGTACCCAAGTTACGGTAATCACAAGGTTAACGAAGTACAGGCTACCACAGCAAAGTGTGTCCAAAACACCGTCGACAAATGTCAACATGCATCATAGCGTAAGGAAATCGGGGCCTAAAAAAAAAAGTAAGTCGAACATTCAAAAATTATTTAACGTGACAGCCAAGGTTAAAGAAATAGAAAGGCCAACTACAAATGAGTTCAATTGAGGGAAGCGCGTTGACCACCAAAGTGGGTTACGTTTATGCAAACATTCCAAATTACAGTTGCCGACTCATAGATTCCACCTCACCCAAATAAGGCATTGCGACTAACTACATCACCTCAATTGAGTGTTAAGCAAGCACTAAACCATTCCTAACCTCTTCGCTTCTTTTGGGCTTCATAGTCAACCTCCGCCTTGGCAACAACCTCCGCGTCAGCCATAACAGCACAACGGATAGTGAAATAAAACACCCGTTAGCTATCAATGCGGTCCACACAATGCTCAAGCAACTGAGGAGGTACCCAACCTCAACCTCTTTAATCACTCTCCTAATATTCATATTAGGTGTGGAGGTTCATTCGGTTTGGGAGTTTGATTCAGAGACAGAGCGTCATGTCCCTCAACGCACGTTCACGGCTAGGCATTGTAACACTAGCCTAGGTGCAGAGTTGTGAAAGGGAGTGCGAAAGTTAACATCAATTTGTGAGGTTAGCACTAAGTATCTGTTCACATTAATGACGCCCGTGTGGAGAAACTGCGTGGAAGAACTGTTGCCGTGGGGTAGAGGCAGTTTCTGAGAGTAGGCAGCATTCTCGATCCCTCTTTTATAAGCCGTCAGCAGTTCCTCCATCCATCACACACACTTATTCGGCGCTGCTAAAATTTTGCTTTCCAGTGGTAGAAAGAGGATTGCCACCATCTCAGCTCTCCGAGACTTCACCCAAAATAAAGGAAGACGTAATACTTGAACAGAGAACTTTCAACAGGAGGAAGTGGGGCCACCGGTATGGTTAAAAGTCCGGTTCGACCGGAGAATGGTACATTATCAATTAGATAAGTGCAAACGGAACCAGTAGCCCGGTCGAAGAAAATAAAATGTATTCAATTGATACCCTTTATTGTCTGAATAACATTCATCAACAAGTTTTTTGGTGATTAGAGTTTATTGCTGCTCTGCCCACTTATAGCTGTCTCAACTATGGTAAATGCGTCGCCTTCAACTCTGAGACGAGAAGAGAGAATAGAGGAGATTACTTACTAATTCGGAGAAAATCGAGACACTGGCTGAACTTACAGAGGGGTAGCGCTTACCTCCATCTTGGCGCCCGGTGCCCTTCGAAATTAGTGCAAGCTGACCGCATTCAGCCTAAGCAGTACAATTTGATGATCATGCATTGAGGAAGTGCGTAGATTTTCACATGCATAACTCGCCAAACTACCATTACCATCAAACTCCTGGGCTAAAGGAGTTAAGAACTCTCTGTACAAGATCTCTCCAACAAAATGAATGAGGCTTGACACAATCAGTTGGCGCAGAAGTTTGCAGTAGATTTATTTTTCAGGTTGCTATAGGTCAAGATTCACTTCAATCTGAGAGTCCCGTAGGCATGTCAGCGTTGCTTCAACTTTGGAAACTATTTCCGCAGTCCCACGGAACTTCTAAATTCACATACAAGTCTCCATCACCAGTGGTAAATAATGGGAGACGAAGCTTTCGCAAAGATGGTGACTGATTTGAACTTTTGAAAGTGTCATGAACAACCTAAAGTGGATTCCTTGTTCCGCACTGAATGACGAAAGGCCAAGCAATACGGTGAAAAGCAGAGCTCGTCACCGGTTTTAATATTTATTAATTAACATTGATAATGAAATCAGTGCGGCATTCGCAACAAATTCAACCTGTCAACGAGTTTATGAATAATATGGATTAAATACATGCGTTCGGAGCTATCGTGTTATGTTGCGATCCTGGCGCCGCAGATACCGCACTAAATCAATGGATTAGAGAGAAATCCGTCTGTATGACGTTAAGAAGAATAGACGCTAAATACAAGTGATTACTTGACTTAAGAACCCACTAGGTAAGAGAAGGCATTAAATAGACCGAATACATGCATTCCAGTAGGAGAAGAAGGGATTTAGACCAAAGGCCGGCCTATGCGTAAACGTGAAAGACCACTGTCAATGTAGTCAATAGATATCAAGTGGTCACATAAGAAAAGCACTGAATACGGATCCAGCCTTCTTTGTTAAGCATCAGTATTAGACTAGTGTACAAAAGTCTAGTCCTGGAAGCAATCGATGGTCGACAAGGCATGTGTTCTTAATTCCTCCTGTCAATTGAAGACAAACCCAGGTTAGATTGAAGCTTCCGGGAAAGTCGAGAATGACTGAATCGTTTGTTTCCTTGCAGCTCCAGCAACGTTGTGATATCCACCGCAGAGGGCACATAATGCAGACACCAAGGGCGCTGCTTAAAAGATGAGAGTGGCAGCGCATTAATTTGTTTACGTAAACACAGGTATGGCTCGAGGGCACTTTGGTACTTATCCCGGTTTTTTTGACATTGATCAAATTTTTAATCAGAACAAAGCTTAAACCATTTTTCACCTCCTGCATCATTTTTCATCTTTAGGAACAG